CCGGATCTTTCCCTTTAATACTCTCTTAAAAGAGGTTAATAAAATGCTAGGGAGTCCGACATGTTTTAATCCAATGATTCCCCATTCCACATCTATGGCATACTGATTTGGCGTTCAAGTTTTGTGGTTTAAAAGAAGTACCACAGCCTCGGCCTCTACCACCATTGTACCCTCGGCTTCGGCCTTGTCCTCGACCGTAGAAGTGGCCACGACCACGTCCTTGCCATCTTCCACGTCCACGGTCGGTTTGATTATACTCTTTTTGGACGTGGTTAGATTCATTAGACTCCTTCTTTGACGATGCAACCGCATTGGCTTCAGGAAGTGGGGTTGATCTAGGAGGTCTTAATTCACTGTTTCTCATCAATAACTCATTGTTTTGCTCAGTGAGCAATAAACAAGAGATCAGAATTGCATATGTTTCAAAGCCCTTTTCACGGTATTGTTGTTGCAACAATATGTTACTTGTGTGGAAGGTAGAAAAGGACTTTTCAAGCATATCCTTTTCTGTTATATCCTCACCACACAGTTTCAACTTAGAATCGATCTTAAACATGGCTGAATTATATTCATCCTCGGACTTGAAGTCATGGATTCTGAGATTCCTCCAATCATACATGGCCTTTGGTAATAGCACCGTCCTTTGGTGATCATATCTCGATTTCAATTCATTCCAAAGGTCCAAAAGATTCTCAACTGTCAAGTACTAATCCTTAAGACTCTCAGAAAGATTATGGTGAATAACTAATATTGCCTTATATCTATTCTCTTCGGGCTCATCATTCTCATTCACAATACATTCACCGAGCCCTTTTGATTTTAGGATAATCTTAGTACTCAACGCCCATTGTAAGTAATAATCTCCCGAGAGATTAAGGCGATCATGCATTCATATTCGATTTTCATGTTAATAATAAAATTAGGGTTTCATAAATTCATATTAATCAAACAAGTAATAATCCATATGAAAAACAAGCAATAATCGATTTCAGGGTTTTAAGGTTTCAGAGTTTCGTATGAAAAATAACAAGCAATAAACAATTTCAGGTTTTAAGGTTTCAGGGTTACCAGGTTTCATATGAAAATAATTAGGCCCTAAACAATTTCAGATTTTAAGGTTTTAGGGTTACCGGGTTTCATATGAAAAAGAAGTCAATCAAACAATTTCAGATTTTAGGGTTTTAGGGTTTTATGGTTTCATATGAAAAAGCAGTCAATTAAACAATTTCAGGTTTCAAGGTTACATGGTTTTATGATTATAATCAAGAAATAATGATTTCAGGGTTTTAGTTCACTTACCTTGATCTCCTGAAATGGTTGAATGAACTATGAGAAAGAAGACCTTAGAACCTCCGTGGTTTGAGCAGCAAAACGTCGAGCTTTGTTCGTCCGGAACCGTCGGTGGTGGTGCTTCACGATCGGTGGTGATTTTAGGTTTAGGGTTGGGGGCGTTTTTAGGTTTTAACTTTTAGGGTTCTTAGAACTATCGTGCTGATAACGTATTGTAAACTAGAAGGAATTCAAGTGTTTCTTTATTCATGAGTAATGAGTCATTTATATAAGGATGAATACAAAGAGAGAAAAGTAAAACCTAATACAAATAGGAAACGGTTAAGCCTCCTAAGTATGGGCTGGACCGGACTTAAACGAACCCCGGGTATGGTCGATATGATCGATGGCACGACCGCGGGTCGGTGAATGGGCTCGGAATCCATCGGACCCTTCGATGGAAGGTTTGGGGTGGAGAGAACCCTTCGTACAAATGAAAGAATCCTCGATATGGATGTGTGTGGATCGAGTGACAACACGTGAGGTATGGAAAGAACTCACGATACGGTCAACTTGAAGATTAACGAAACCCGGTTCGAGAATCTTCAAGGATTTTTGATTTCTAAGCTCCAAGCTTTCGAGAAAACGAAGAAAGACGCAAGAAAGGAAACATTTTTGGTAGTTTATTCCAGCGTCCTGATTACAATCGAGATACTTATCCTTAATTAGACAAGTCATCGAGAAAGTGAGCTTAAAGTTGCCCTAGACACGTGGGTCGTTAAGCTCCACACAAAGGAAAAGCGAGAAAGTGCGTTTTCTAACGGCTCTCTCGGTAAAAGGTTAAAAGGTCGAGTAATTCTCGATAAAAAGGTAAAAGGGTCAAGAATTAATTGAGAGGAATAGAAACGGATCGATGAAGATCGATGAAGAAGGCTTTATTGGTGGTGGATGCCTTCTTGGAGATAGGATCTTTAGGATCTTCACTTCCTTGGCTCTGAAACTTTTCTACTAACGTTTCCAAGCCGAGAGTCGAGTGGGATCGGAGTGGAGATGCATTGACTCGCTACCTCGTTAAACCTTCTCGGTAAAACCCATTGGGATAAAAGCCGAGGTAAGAAAGAGTACAGCTTACCAACGTCTTAGGGATGCCTTCACGCGAGCGTGGGGGTGAAGGCACACGAGCTAAGCTTTCCCAAAGCTTGTCATGATCGAAGGTTCCTCGGTGGGGATGCGTTCCACGAACCTTTGGTGAGAATAGTTGAAGCTCGGCTTGTCGAAAGGTTGATCGTTGAAGAAGTCCATGAGATGACCTCGTCTTGCTCCTCTTGATGATCCTTGAAGATGTCTTGAAGCTTTGAAGTCGCATTGTTGTCCTCGGGTTGATCGATGGTCGATCACTTTGCCTGAACGGATGGTGGATGCGGCTGGACGGATGGTGGTCTCGGACGGACGGACGGCGGCCTTGGTGACTCGGTGTCAGGGGACACATCAGGGCTGGACCGGGCTTGATCATGGGCCGGACCAGACTGGGCTTGTTATGACAATCCACCATTTGGTTTATAATAGTTAAGGGTTGTATTGCGTATTATTTTTAACTTAGTATGATTTGTTTACACTATCTACACTATTAAAAGAGAAACATTTTGAATAACTAAATTATGAACTAAATTTAATTTCAAAATTTTTACTGATGACTATATAATTTCACTGGTCAAACTTCGGGTTTGCGGGTTATTCACAAATTGTTTTGAAGAGAAAAAAAATATATAACTATATATTTTATATTTGATCTAATATATAATTTTAAAATCTAAAATATTTTTTAATTACATGGAAGCAAACAATATAAGTTAACCTTAAATATTAGGACATGAAATAATGGGTACGGGAAGGAAACACATAATTCTGAAATAAAAATCATTATCTAAACTATTCCTGCTAAAATACGAGACGAACTTCAGAGTAACATGAATTATGAGTATTAGGAATTCAAGCACGACATATGCGACATACTATTTACTATTATGAACTAGATGAAATAATGGGTACAGAAAAAGAACATGTAATACGGAAAATAAAAACTATTCCTAATAAATAAGGGTCGGAAATTTAGGGGTAATAATTCAAACATAACGTATACGAACATACCATTTACTAATATGGATTATGCGGAATGGATCTTTTGCGGATTAAACATATTTTATTTTTTTTGCGGAGCATGCATAGCAAACGAGTTTGACCTACCTAACATTTATATTTAGGTCATTCGGGTCAGGAAATTTTGTTGTTGTTGTTGTTGTATTTGTTTGTATCCAATTTGATAGTTCATGGGTTAAATAGAAATTTAGCTTATTAGTAATCCAGTTTACAATCAATCCGGGTCTGCTATCATGTAGATCAAAAATTTATTGTGAAGCGATTATTATTTTAACTTTTAAACATTCACATATTTGATGAAAGCAAACCAATATAAGTTTATGTTATAAATACTATATGAAATAAATATATGTACAAATAAAATCTTACACATATGTGTAAGTCTAAATGGTTGCCCTGTTTTTTTATCTGTTAGACTAAAATATACAATCTCTTTTTATACTACGTTTTTAATATTTTTATGTAGTCGTCTTTACAGAGAACAAAATAATTTTTTTCTCCTTATTTTCGTCTAACCAAATTAAAAACAAATCAAATACTGAACTGGTACGAGTTTAGATTATGAATGTTGATGACATTCCTAAAAATTATGTTTACAAGTATAACCTTTGCATATATGTAATATTTTTGTACACATTATAGCAAACTTAGTTTTTGAAATCAAGCCCGCACGTACGTGCGGGTCCGAATCTAGTTTAGATATAAAGGGAAGAGTTGCAAAAAGTGACTACATAAAAGGGTTTATTTGCTCAAAACTCATTAGAAAAACTAACTTTTGACCATTTTTTTTTTGAAAATACAAAATAGTCCTCATTGAATAAACATAAACACATGTATGTGTGTAAATTTTCGGTTAATGAGTGTGGGAAAAAAAGTACAACAACATAGAAGGGAAGTAAGAGAGAAACACCAGCTGTCAAGTATGAGAAAAGCAGAGAAAAGCCCAGATTTGGGAGAGAGAGAAATTTAAGGCCGATGAGAATGAGATATCCAATGGTGTCTCTAGGTATCTAGTGATATATATACCATCTCTGACCAAATTTGAGAATTGTCGGAGATATTAAATCGAAGTTGAAGTTGTTGGAAACGGATAAAAGAAGTTACATGATTTTTTATAAATGACATGAACTAATTATATATAAAATGCATTTTTATATGTATCATTGAAACAAAAATGGCTTATCATTGTGGGTACGAGTTTACCAAAAGTCAAATAAATAAACACTTTTTGATAACAAAATTAAATTAAAAAAAAATACTTTTATTCTAATTAAAAAAGTACAGATATTAAACATCCAAAATAAAAATAAATGATGAATTTTTAGGGTTTTTTTCCTTTTTAAAACTCCCAATAAATTTAGCTTAATAATTTAATATTTTAAAAATAATACAATAACATTTTTTCTAACATGAAAAAAAAAACTTTTTGCTTATGTATAGTTTTTTTGTAATAGATTTGAAACTTTTCTATTTTTATTTTGAATATTTTAATAAATTTAAAACTGACACGTGTCAATATCTTATTGATATTATTCGATACAATCGACACATGTCACAATCTTATCAATGACTAATTACGAAAAACCAAAATAAGATAACTCAGAAATCACTGGTGCATAACTGCAGACGTTTATCCTCAACTTAAAAAGATACGCAATAACATCTTTCATATAGAGAAAAACAAGAAGGGGCATAATATATCTAAAATTCCACACCAAAAAAAACAAAGAAAGAGTAAGAAAATAAGGATTGATTTCTAATGAACCGCAACCATTTCAGATATGGTTAACGAAGGGATCTCATGAATATACCAATTCGCTCCCAAGATGTTGAAATTTTATGTAAGAAGACTTCTTGCGAGGTGTTCCCGAGCTGTTGCCAATGCTTGAGTTAACGTCTACATATTCAAAAAGCACGAAATGGTCAAATGCATAATCGCGTTTGGTCAAAGGTTGTGTTGTAGTTAGTATTAGTAATCATAGTGCATCTCACCTGTTCAGAGAGTGAACCACTTGCTTCTGCGCTTTGCATTGCTACTTTCCCCGCAATAACATTAGCATCTGTTTCAAGTACCATCCTGAACATGTTTCGAAAAGACAATGAGTAAGATAGTGATAGGGATTCAAACACATTACATTATTTATTCAGTTCACCAAAGAGTCTAGAAGGGACTTCATTAACGAGATAAGTCTCTAAACTCCCAACAATTCCAAGACACCCCAACGAAATTTCTAAATTAATATTAAAACATTCAGTTCTCAACTAATATCAACTAACCAACATATGGTATGTAGCTGAGCTCGCAAATCTAAGATAGTGACAATGACAATAGTCATGCCTTAAACTCTACAAGAACACCTTACTAACATTGCCTGAAGTTGTTCACCAAAATCAAACAATAAGTTCTCTCAGTCCCTAAATACCAGCTGTCACTATGTCCGTAATGTAACTCAACTCTATCAGTATATTAGGGAACTAATTGCTAAGATTTTTTCAATGGCAAACTGAAGTCAGCAATCTTGTTATCTCTACCCGCCTATGTTTAAGAGTTGCATATAAGTATAACTATTGTGAAGGCAAGAATGTCTGATTTCCGAACTTAACATAGTCGAAATATTGTAGGATATTATCTGAAATAATATGTAGCATACCCTTGGTCAACCATCTCATCAAGGCACAAAAAGATGAGATCCAAGTTTTCAAGGGCTTCCATCTTTTCAACATTGTTCCTGTCAGGAGAAATCATACTCAATGTAAATTTCGTATATCGCTCATCACGAAGAGGCAGCTAGTCTTTTGTCAAGCTGGAAAAATACCTCAGAAGTAATGCAACAGCATCAAAAAAGCCTTGAAGAACAGATGATAAGATGAGCTCGTTTTCATTATCACCTCCCGTAACAAAGAAATGCAGGTCCTGGGCAAACTTATAGACTACAATATTATTCTCCAACAGTGTGATCTCCGCTGCAAAAAGTAACAATAAGAAAAAATTTATACACAGGTACAACCATATAAGTGATCTCAAACAGAGAATATGGAGATATGGAGTCAGGGAACCCAGTAGACAGACAACAACAAGCACATCAAGCTTTCACAGTCATATATGATACAACATATATATGAATAATGAGCATGAGTGAAAGTTTCAATTTGGTCTTACCTTCTGAGCGAGCATTGGTCTTGGAGGTCTTTGAAAAGACATACTTTTCAAAAGCTAACTTTGCAGCATTAGTAGGCCAATCATCTGAGTAATACTTGACAGCCACACGCTTTCCTTCAGAGTCTAGAAGAAGAATGTTCTTTACCAAAGGACAAGAATCCTGTTCATTGTAAATCAAACAGTCAGCATCCAAGCATTAAGAAAGAAGCAGACGTGAGAATCCATGAAAAGATCATGTAAGGTTGAACTTCTACAACAGCAAGGCCAAAAAAGATCTCCAGTCAAGCGACCACCAATCATATTGACAATCACACAAGACTAAATCTCTAGAGTACTTGTAGCAGCCAATCAAATAAAAAAAGCTATAACAGTTACTCATCATCTATGGCTTGATAAAATAGCCCAATCAAACCCATGGTGCTCTTTGGTCAAGCCATAGATGGTGAGTAACTGATATAGCTTTTTTTCTACACAAACAAAGGAGTCTAACACTAAGAAATATACATGACGGCTTCTCAACTCAAGAAAACTATCAAACGTTTCACTACATCACAACGCAACAAATTGCATAAGAGTAGCAGACCGTAGAGCATCACAAGACTTGGTTTCATCATGAATACCGGCAAGTATGATCTCAACAGAAACTAGAAAGGCAAACACATACATACAAATCTGTACTATTGTTACATAAGAAATTAGTATTCAATGAGCTAAAAGATGTACTTACATTAGCTCCTGCCATTGTTGTTGAACCAAGATATACCTGAAACAGTGATAAACCAAGTGTTATAACCCACTAGGAAAACACAAACACTAAATCACTTTAGTCTCAGGAACAAGATCAGCAATGAACACACCAAGATCTTTATTTTTCTGAACAGATAAACTAAGATCTAAGAAAAGAATCATAGATCATCAAGACCGGTCCTAAAATAACGATTTCTACACAACTACCACCAAATCGACTCCATTACTAAATCATACTTCCTCAAAACCAATCTCTAAGTCGCATTTTGAATTCCCAATCCAAAACTATACGATCAGATCTCTTCTAAGCTATGAAAATGACAGATCACAACGGAAAAATTGCAAACAATCAATCTGCTAAAAACAAAATCTACCATCGTTGAACCAACACTGCTCCATATCTTAAGGATTCAGAGCCAGAAACTGTGAAAGGCTACAAAAGTTTCATCTAGATCTCTAGAGAATTGCAATGGATACTTCATCGGATCTGATGAAATCAGAACGTTAATAAAGCGAATCTAGCTTCGGAATGAGAGGAATGAAGAAGCAGGAACCAGAAGGAGAAGACGATCTCGACGAAATTTACCTTTTTCGGATGCTTTTTAGAGGTGAAGGAATATGAGTGCTTGCGAAGAGGATGGAACTGTTTGAAGAAAAACACACGAGGATTCTGATTTTTATTTCAGAAGTTTGCTTAATGAGTAGTCGTAATTATAGAATATTGTAAATCAGACCCCAAACATTTAGATTTGAATTAAAAAACCCAACATTTGAGAAAATTAGGAATCTCAACTTTTTTTTCTTTTTCTTTCATCATTCTTGACCTCAAAAAGAGAAAAGACTAACCTAATAGCCCGTTAGCACACATTCCACTTGGAACAGTATATGGTTTAGAACTTAATCACACTATTATTTTTCGTAAAACTCAATTAATTACGTTTTTAGTGACTTTAATATCAAAAAATAGAAAAAACGTAGTATTCAAGTAATCAAGTCACTTAGGAAAAAACGTTATTGATTGAATTTTACTAGAGATATGAGTGCCGTTGCCCGTTAAGTTCTAGACATAGTTGAGAAATTAACGACAAAAACAAAATTTTAAAAAGTTTAAAATTATACAATATTATACCGTAAAAGGAAATAAACGTGTTGTCATGTTTGCATTGTATGTTATAAATTTATAATTGCTATAAAAATTAAATACTATTTATTGTTTAACTATAACAAAAAATATATTTTTAAATAAGGAACAAGAAGTAGAAATTACTGCATTGCAAGATATCAATCATAAGTCTACCACAATATGGACAATAGAGAAGCTTTTGAACTTCTACTATGTAATTTTAAGAAGACCATGAGTATCGAAAAGATTTGATAGGAAATATATAGCAGTAAATATAAATAAATAGAATATATGAGGCTAAAATATGAATTTCATAAGATAAGGTAAGAAAACGAATTCTTTAAATTTTCTATTTAACCCCCCACCGGCAATATTCTAATTCTCTCACCATGAATGATCATATCATCAAACATTAGAAAACCTAAAAGAAGAAGATGCCAAAGACAAAGAAAGCTCTCTTATCTTCAGACCAAAGATGTACAAAATAGTCAGTTTGTTTTTTTCTTCCTTGTGTTGCACCTCTGAAGAAGTAGAACAACGCTCTTACTACAGCAACTAAAGCCTTTCCACCTTCTCTTGCCCGAAGTAACCAAAATAAATAAATAAAAGACCCCGAGAAAATATAAAGAAAAGAAAAGAGAAATGAAAAACTATCTTCCATCTGGACACCAAAACAAAATCGGATCACGAGTCGAGAGAGCTATGTCCTCGGTTGCTTCTTATACTATCAGCTTCTGCACCAGTGATGGCTTGGACTTCTTGTACTGGTTTTCAAAGATGCAAAAATAAAGTAAAACAAGTTAAAAGATGATGAGAGAAATTAAAAGCAACCAAGGAGGACATGTTGCATCCTGTACCCGTTCAATGAAGGATCTGATCTCCTCTTCTGAGAGGGCTTCGTCCTTTTCGCTAACGTTTTCATCCCACCCAAGGGATCTAAGGAACTCAGCCTCTTTTGGCGATGGACGGACTACTATATCAAATCTACTAATCGTTTCTGCAACATCAGCAACTTTCTCGACTCTATCCTTGGGGTCATTTCTTTCTGCAGCCTGTGTACTTGGAGGGTCACTAGCTACAAGCTCCGTAGAACTGTTTGCCTTTTCCTCGACTGAAGGAAAGATGCCCGAGCTAGTTTTGGATGGATCAGTTGTAGATGTAGTTTGCTTCAAAGCATTGTAAAATGCAAGCCTGCTCTGAGTTTGAGCCGAGGAAAGTTTCTTTTCAACGGTTTTCCCAGCTATTGTGTTTCCAGAAGCTCCCCTGAGCTCCCTTGGACCGTTTGCACTTCCTACAGGAGCAGTAAATTGTGTAGATGGAGCAGTGGTCAGCTGGATAGCAGCAGCTCGGCTATTGGGTGGTGAACCACCAGCAACTACCCCATTTTCCCTAACAGGCTTGAGAACAACCAGCTTCTTAGTCGTCTCAGGCTTTATCGGACCACCAGGATTAGACTGAAGATTACCGAGAATCACAGTGGACTGCTGTTGGGTATTTCTTGAAGAAACAAGACCAGCTTCACCACTTCGAAACATTGGTTTGGTCTTGGATTTATCAGATGAGCTATGAACCTGCGAAATCAACCAGCATATACTGAATTTAGTTCAAGGTAACTGAAGGTACATAAGTCCAACTATGGGAAAAGAAACTTACTGAGCCCTTTGGTGCTGAAGGCACAACCGGTATCAACTGCCTAGATTGCCTAATAGCTCGGTCTTCAAGTGTTTGTGCCTTTAAGATACCAAATACAAAAACAAAATCTGTTAGAAAAACAGAAGAGGTAGTGTACTATACGCAACACAAAGATGCAAGTCATACCTGGGGTGGTGTACGAGTTCTTCCTGGAGCCTGCACCAATGCTTCAGCCATATTACGAGAAGTTGGTCCGGATAAGGTAGCCGAACTACCAACATTACGAGAAGTTGGTCCGGATAAGGTAGCCGAACTACCAACATTAGCATGGGAGCCAGTACCACCACTCTTCTCAATAAGATTGGGAACCTCTGCCAGAGCCGATGTCCAACCTTCCCCAACAATCAAGGCTGGATTACCAACTGGCAAGCTCTGAACAGTAGGACTTAGACCAGGTGATGAGACTCTTACGACATCTGGGCCTCCAGTTCTCTCTTCAGCTCTAAGCAAAGGAAAATCTTTGTCGAAGCCTGTTCTTTTAATGTTCTTTGCAGGGCTAGTTCCAGGAAGTATACCATGTCCGTTGTAAAGATTAACTCCTACTGTTAACCCTTGAGCAAGTTGGTTGCCCTGTTTCCTTGTTGTCATTGAATGTGATCGTCTCAGTGGCTCCTGTCCACTACCAATCAAGAAAGTTCCAAAAGGCAAAGAAGTGTCATGGTCCCAGGGATCCATGTAGCTCAACCTATCTTTCTCTCTGGTTCGATCTTTATCTCTATTGCTCCTATTGAAGTTGAAACTACTATATGCATGTTTTGTAGACCCATTACTAGATCCCCTCCTTGTATTAGTGGAAGAAGACCGATCGAGAAAAGGAGACCGAATTGAATTAATATCACTTCTGCTCCTAGAATTCCTATTCTCGCTATTACGTAATAATGAAGAAGAATCTAAACCAGAATGAAAAAAAAAAAAAAGAGAGTTACAATGCTAATCATAAATCAAACAACATAAAAGCAACTAAGATACAATAATAACGAAATCCAACAAACTCAAACATACCTGAATGAGAATTAGATGACTGAAGGTTGTGATTAGAACTCCCAATTCCAGAACCATGTCCTGAACTTCTCAACCATTCAGGAACTAAAGAGGGTTCGCGTTTCTCCATTAGTAAAGCTACACTTCATCAGATAAAAGAAAGATTAAATCCAATTCTCAGACCTCTTCCACTCTCAAGACAAGCTCTAACCCTTTCTAACTATTCCTTACCACCACCACAAAGGGCAGGGGAAGAAAACCCCAATCTCAAAACCTAGAAGAATCGTCACAAAGCTAAATCTTTCCAGAATCACAAAATCAACGACGAGAAAACCCTCTACACACCCATCTCTCCCACAGATGGCTTAGCAATTCTCCAAACCAAACCTAGAAGATCATCATCATCCAAACCCACCAATAAAGGTACTAGCTTGAATTCACAGTGATGGCACTAACCTAACCACCTAAGCAATCACTACCAATACTAATCAACCCTACGCCCTACAATTCAACCCAACAACGGCAAAATTCGTTTAACGCATCACCCCCAGAACAAGAAAAAATCGAAACTGGCTCAACAAACCCAACCCAAACAGAGTCTTATAGATTCAATCGCTAAAACGAAACAATGGCTTCTTCTCCAAGAAGGGAGAAAAATTAACCAAACCCCAAAAAAAAGGAGAAGTCTTTAAACAAACCCAAAACGAACAAGAAACGATTGAAAGAGAAACGAGTGGAGGAAACAATTAGGGTTTGTAAGATGAGAAAAATCAAAGAAAAATTAGGGTTTTTGCGATGGTTCGAGAGACAAGAGAGACTGGTCGAAGAAGAAGAAGACGAAGAAGAGAGGAGGCGAAAATGTTAATTTTTTTTTTTGGCTTCTCTGTGTTTTTTTTTTTTTATAGCTTTTGGTAAAAACTTGTTCAAGGAACAAAACGCATGATTATTAACTGTTAGATCTGCCGTCCCTAGTTTAGGGCTTTAGACCTTCTCTTTCATAAAGAGTCTTATTATGTCTATGACATTTTTTTAATAAATATTTACACCATATTACAATTTTATTATTAATGTATCTCAAATAATAGTTTAGTGTGATAATTGCGAATTTGCAATACATTTTGTTATAAATATTTACACCATATTACAATTTTATTATTAATGTATCTCAAATAATAGTTTAGTGTGATAATTGCAAATTTGCAATACATTTCTTATTATCCGCACATATATATAAGTAGGTCTGCCCATATGCCAATCTAGTAAAACTATCGATTCGGGCTTCAAAATTTTAGGGTTTTTAGCCAAGCATTTGTTAAGTTTTTCATATATGTTTAGTTGTACTACAATTTTTGTGTTAAGCTTTAAAAAGACAATATGTGGAATTTTATATACAAACATTAGAGTAAAAAGGAAAAATAAAAGACGTTACACTTTCTAGTATCTTCTTCGACAAAAGATATCTTTTGCACGTAGGTGAGACAATTTGTTTAGTTTACAAGTGAAAATCATAGTTTTTGAATGAAAAGAGCATATTTTGTATCATATGAAAATGACGTGTTTTTATAGTATATGAAAAGGAATTTTTTAATCTTTGCGTATGGTAATTAAACAATTTACTCTATAATTGATGAAGTGAGAAATAAGAGGAGGGAAAATGAACTAAACCAATTTTTAAGTAGTCAACCTGTACTCGTCCAAAAATTTTGTTGAAAGTGGGCTATTGAAAAATTGTTGTATCATATTGATCAACAACATACATCTAATCTCAAAGTTTAAGTAATGTATCCTTCGAGAACTCATTATTGACATAACTTACATAAAGACCTTCGAGTTATTAGTAAGGAGGGGGCAAAGTTTTTTTATGACACACTTAACTATTAGTAATCCCACTATTAATAAGACCTAAACGCATAATACATGAAAAATGACGAGAGATCAATGAACTCACTTTGCATGATAAGATGATCGATTAGTAAGAAAAGTAGAAATCTTGTTTCATTCCTTGAGTCACTCTACATACTACTTATGGAAAAAAGTACAAAACATGTCATCCCATCATTCAAACATTGGTGGTTTATATCTACCAAAATCACTTAGGTATATGATGGTGACATCAATCTCTCCATAAATTCTAGAACCATTCATAATTGGTACCTTTTACACTTGATTAATAAGTCTTATCAAAAATATCAATTATGGGTAAATTTTTCTTTTATCAAGTGTAATTATATATTAATATTTTAAAAAATTATCAATTAAGGAAATCTATATATATAATGGGAGAGTTCTCTCTCCCTCTAAAGTTGTCCACATCAGCATTTTTTATAATTTTTGTGTCAAGCCCAACAAATCATCTAAACCCATATATTTTGTTCATCATTCTATTGTTTTTTGGCATGTTAGTTTGTAACTTAAGCCCCAACACTTTTACATCCAAATTGGGTTTTTGGCCTCTTCCATAACTCATGTTCATGTAGTGCATAATATGTTATTTATAATTAATAAAAATTAAAGATAAAGAAAAAAAAATTTACATAATGTTAACATATAATTTCTTTTCATGTTAATAAATAAATAACTAGAAATTAAAATATGTAAAATAAATTAAATTTAAAATACTAAAACCAATACTATGAGAATTTTATTAGTAATAATAGTATGATTCAAACTCTAAACAACAACAAACTTTAAAATAATCATACTTTGGAATTTTAAATGTGGTAATGTGTTTTAAAATTTAAGTAAATTTTAAATGCATGGTAGAATAATACAAATTGTTTGTAATTATACTTTTAGAATTTTAAAGAGGAAAAATAAATTTAAAGTGAAACATAAGTTCTAAAATCAATATTACATATTTTTATTATTAAATTTAATCTAAAAACAAAAGATTACTAACTCAATTTAAAATACTCTAAGACGAAAATATTTGAAAGGTACACTTTATGCCGTGAAATTCTATTAAAAATAGAAAAATTATAAAAACATTATTATCCATATTCTAAAATAATAAATAATTAATTATCACATTATTCATGAGTTTTACAATAAAATATAGAGAAAGTGATTTTGTAAGCCGTAAACTGATATGTAATTTGTGTAGCATATCTCAAAAAGAAAGTTTACTTATTCTCAAGTAGTACTATACCTTTATAACATAATCTAAAAGAAAAATAAGTTTGATATCCCATGATTTGAATCAAATGCTTTTAACCCAAAATGGACTATTATTAAGGAAGAAATTGTTATGATATGTTTTAAAAAGTAACTCACACTTCAATATATAGTATACGAAAGTTAATAGAAGGTAGAAATAAAGTAGATGTCGAGAGGTAACGAGTGCATTATAGAAGATCACAAAAGAATTAGTAGTGAAAAGCGATTGGATATAAATGACTATAACTTAAAAAGATAATGTATATGACTACATTTTGAAATATTTGAGATCCCATCTATTGTGTGAAACGAAGAAACTCAAGACACACTACTAGATTCAAAGTCGGGCTTAACCGTTAGTTATAGAAATGAGATAAGATAGACACATTCATGACTTGGTCGAGAGTTCTCTTTTACCACATTGAACTTTTCAAGATGGATAAAGCAAGTTCGCTAAGCCTACTTTAGCGACATGATATTATATATGTATCTTTACACTTAATGATGTATATGAGGCTCGGTAAATTTTATGTTATATATAGAGGTGTTATATTTGTATCAACATCTAATCATAAAGGATATCTACAATTAGGATCATGAGCTGGTTGTCGATGCCATTTACTCTTCTCGCAAATATTTTCAAGTAATCTTTGTTACCATGTAATAATATTAAAACATTTATTTTTCAAGAAAACACTATCAACAACAATATATATGTTGTATATCGTTTAAAAAATTTAGAATAGTGTTTAATTATATAACTTTTATCTTTTGAAATTTGAATGATTATAGTTATGCTTAAAGATTAATATGGATAGAAGAGGTTTTAAATTAAAATCTCGCGCAACGCGCGGGTACACAATCTAGTTTATATAATGTTGCAAAATAAAACTCAAGATATGCAACTTAAGGTTCTCTAGTGTTACCACTCCAAAAACCCTGATTAACCCCTAAACATTATAAGCCCATTAATAAAACCCATTAAGAAAGCCCATTAAGAAAGCCCAATAAATGAACGCGTATAATAAAAAAATAAAAAATAAAAAATGTAAAGAGTCTCTAGACACAAGGCTCCGTCTCCGATTATTCCACGAAACACCGCGTTTTTGTTTTTGTTTTTTGTTTACATTTCTTCTTCTTCTTCTTCTCTCTCTCTCTCGCCGTCAGGTTTTGCCCAATAATCTCGGTCGTCTTCACTCCCGCGAGTTTTTCTCGGGAAAATTTCCCAATTCCAAGCTCCATTGAAGCAAATCGAAGTCAAAGTAAAGAAGGTTTCGTTTCTCTTCCTTTTTCGACTTTGGAGCTTGTAAATAGCGTATGGATTTTACCTGGTTATGGATAGAATCATAGCTCGTATGAAGAAATCATCAGGACGAAGAGCAGATAACACTAAGACTACTCCTGTACGGCGATTAGAGAGGAGAGATGCGACGAGGCATATCAATTATGATGCTGGCTCTTGTTCTAGTTCGTCAGCTGAAGATCTCTCCGTTTCGACTTCTTCGTTGATGACTCGTTCTCTTGAGTTCCCAGATCGAACTAGTTTTCGAATCGGTGGTGGTGGTGAGGGAGAGATGGATCGGATTTATCGGTCTCTTGGTGTTTCTGGTCCTGATGATTTGGCTATTTCGTTTGATGCTTGGGAGGCTTGTAAGAAGCGTTCTTCTTCTGATGTTGTTAATAGGTTTAAGTCTTTTGAGCTTGATAGTCATAAGTTTCAGGCTCAGGATTGGAGTGATGCTGGTCGTAGTGGTGTTGATGTTGGCTCTAATTCAACGAATGGGAATATTAGTAAGTTGACTCGTTCTCAGTCTAGGGATATTGGGAATTTTACTCAGTTTATGCCTTCCAAGACGAGTGAGGTTGAGAGTTTAAGTACTTCGGTGGATAATGAAGTAGTTGATGGTGGTACGGTAGAGAATAGGCGTGTTTTTGAACGGAGACCGACTATTTTGGTGAAGTCAAAAGGGTATCTTGTTCCCAATGATGTGGTGGCTGTTGGTGGTGGTATAAAAGGGGTAAGACCACCGGTACTTAAGCCTCCTCCGTCGTTGAAACGACCTCCTATTGATCTTCACGGATCATCTTGGGATTTCCTTACCCATTTTGCTCCAGCTGAAACTGTTGCGCGTCCGAGTACCTCTTCTTCTTCCGAAAATGGGTGTGTTGAAGAGGAAGCTAGGGAAGAGGAATCGGAAATGGAAGGTACGGGTGTTATGTTGGGAGATACGGCTGACGAGGCATGCTCATTCACTACAAACGAGGGTGAAACCTCTAGTACAGTGTCAAATACTTCGCCGATTTATGCCTCTGGAGGATCTATCATCACTTCTTGGCAAAAGGGTCAACTTCTGGGACGAGGATCATTTGGCTCTGTGTATGAAGGCATTTCAGGGTAAGTCGAACTGGTTGCTTGAACTTAATCAGATACTTAGTTGCAGGTCGTTTAAAAAATTGTAGACTTAGTGAGGGATACTAAGGTAGTCAGATGAAAACTGTGATGCAAAGCGAGTTTTCCATTATGCCTTTAGCTGATGGATGTTTATGTTAAATGTAGAGATGGGGACTTCTTTGCTGTCAAGGAAGTTTCACTACTTGATCAGGGAAGTCAGGCAAAAGAGTGCATACAACAACTTGAGGGGGTATGGAGGTTTTATATACATGGTCTATGATCTGCAGCATATTTCATTATCATATTTCATTATCATTGATCTATCAGAAGTAGAATTCCAATCGTTCTTACCTTCGCCCCATATTTTATTTTCTACAGGAGATTAAACTACTTAGTCAGCTACAGCATCAGAATATCGTGCGATATCGAGGCACAGCCAAAGTATGCTCCCATTATGGCTTTCATATTCGTAGTTGCAGATGCCTAAGCATTAATTTTTTTGCACATTATAACATTTTGATGTTTGCAGGATGAGGCTAATTTGTACATCTTTCTTGAGCTTGTAACTCAAGGGTCCCTTTTAAAACTTTACCAAAGATACCAGCTACGGTACTCTGTAGTCTCCATGTACACCAGACAAATTCTTGATGGTTTAAAATATCTCCACGATAAAGGTTTTATTCACAGGTTAGACTCTCTTGTCATAGCTGTCCCTGTAGTATCCAAGCCTCTTATTTCCTGCATATCCGGGGTTGCTTACTTTTCTCATCTTATGTGTCAAAGGGACATCAAATGTGCAAATATATTGGTGGATGCTAATGGCGCCGTCAAACTTGCAGATTTTGGATTGGCAAAGGTTCTTTTCCATTGATAGATGTTATATAGATTTTGCTCTTAAGAACTCTGGTTCATTGCTTATTTCCCTGACTTGGTTGGTACCTGTGTCATTTTGTTATTTAGGTGTCAAAGTTAAATGACATTAAGTCCTGCAAGGGAACTCCATTTTGGATGGCGCCAGAGGTAATTTATTTTTGGATCCGTCCCACTGCATTGATTGTGTGAATACGATGAAAGACAAACATATCATACATGAACTGCAATGTTGGATGTTAAACTGTTGCTTAAATATGTTGTGATCCGGGATTGATAACTTCAAAAATCCCTGACTATGTTTTCTTCAAAGTATTTGATTTTTTCTTTTATTTCTGTTATGGTGTTTGTAACTGTAGGTATGTTTGTGTAATCTTTCATGATAGATATATCCGGATTCCTTCCATTTTGATTGTACTTGCTTTACTTGTACGGTTCTTTCTAAATGGAGCATAATCATTTGATCAGGTTATTAACCCCAAGCGTAATGATGGGTATGGAAGTCCAGCTGATATATGGAGCCTTGGATGCACTGTGTTGGAGATGTTGACTGGTCAGATCCCTTACTCCGATCTAGAACCCGTAAGTCTTCAAGATTCTCAAACATTCTATATATAACTTAGGGGAATTTCCATACTAACGACTAATTATTTAGCTATTATTGAAATACACATGAACTTTTGGGTTTAGAAAAATACGCGAACAAAACATTTGGCTCAGTTTAATGATTAGTCTCAAGACTCTCAACACAGTGATTTTGTTTTGCACCTTGCTACCTTCAGTTTAGTGTTAACGGTGGTTATTTATTGATTATGGTCTATCTCATAAAAATAAGAGCTAAAATCAGAATTTGTGCAAATGCGCAGGTTCAAGCCCTGTTTAGGATCGGAAGGGGTACGCTTCCAGAAATACCTAATACTATATCACAAGACGCTCAGGATTTCATACTTAAGTGTTTGAAGGTGAACCCGGATGAGCGACCAACTGCAGCTGAACTACTAAACCATCAATTTGTGAGAAGACCCTTACCATCCTTGAGCTCAGGAGGCTCAGGATCAGCGTCTCCAGGTTTCTTTAGTAGATTGCCTCAATAGGTGAAGCTTTGTTGTTTATCAAATGAGAATAGAATCAAAACCTATATATTCTAACATTGATATCATAATGTATGAGAAGCAGGGGTAACCAGAAGATTTATAAGCGATTTAAACCCCATAGAAAAACTATCGGGGAGACTCGAGATATGATTCTTCGACACACTATGCGGTTCAGTAGGGTTCCGCAACAACAACAAGAAGAGCTAAACAAACATCCTGGAGACATATATATATATCTTCAGGTAGTTTATGTCTCTCACTTCGTTGGTTTATTTGTTTGTAAGTTATGTGTGTTGGGGGGCTTATTTTTCAAAACTGAAGAGCCTTAGTTGAATTATAGTTTTTGGGTGTATAGGTTTTGTTTTAGTTTTTGTTAAAAATTTATAGTGTATCTATGTATCATGTAATGTTGTAATGTATAATTATAGTTGGTTCTTTTATGTAGTGTTGTTGTTATTGTGAACCAGTCTTATTATTTTATCATGTCTTTGGTTCTTAACGTTGACGAGATTTGCTATTCTAATCATCTTATAGTATTAAAATGGTATGGGTCAAAACGTTATTTTTGATTTTGGTCAAAGCCACTTTCATTGAAGTCTATGATTCCGAGTTGGTTCTTACAAATATTATTGCCCCGTTGAAAAGTTATTGACTCCTTATTGTATTTGCGAAAAACCATAATATCATATACACATGTATTAATCAAAATCAACTCGGATAATCTACTATATGCCTTTTTATATTTGCATTTCAATAGAGATAATCGATTTTTATAAGAAATATAATGGATTTGCATTTGTATGCATTTTAATAGATAATCGATTTTTATCCGAACTAATAAAATATACTGAATTTGCATACGATATTAACGATAAAAAGAAGATTGAAGCAGCAAATCACGAGATTCAGGTAAGAGACGTCATTAAATTACATTTTTGATATTATCAGAAATTAATGGTTAGTTAACCGTTTTTCCTAGATAGTTCCATAATATGAAATTATTTTTATGAACTTTATTATCATTTTTTTTTACAATTATATTATTTGAACTAAAATAATAACTTATTTTTGTATTTATGAAAATAAATGAAAGATGAAATGTCACAAAAAAAAAAATAGATTATTTTTCATTAGGAAATAAATCTATAAATCTATTTCTACGAAGTCAGAAGAAAAACTGTTTTTTCTCTTTTCAATAAATTCATAAATGTTAGATATATCAATAAATACGATGTGTCATATACTATACAGTACTTTATGGAGAATCCATTTCATATTTTTGTATATATGAATTAAATCTGAAATTAATTTAAATTTATAGAGTTAAATACAAAAGTATTATACATTTGAAGATATGATATGGACACATCTATATTAACATTTTCGAAGTACCTTTTGGAAAATAACCTTTTATTTTGTATTATTTGCATAATAAATCTTTGCCATTTAAATAAATAACAAACTTTTAAGATAAAATTTGTGATTAAATTACACCAGAATTGCAAAATTAGAAACTAATATTTATTACATTTAACAAAATTTCCTAAAATGTTTCCCTAATAAATTGAATATCTCTTCAATATCTTTATATGATATTATTTGTTTAAAAATTTACATTATTACATAAAACATAAGTATAATAAAAATACAAAATTTTTTTCGCACATGTAGCAATTTGAATTTTTGAAAACGGACATATATTACTCAATCGATAAAAGAAAATACATATATGTATAACGTCCCACATCGCGTAGAAAATTTTAGACAATGGTTCAGAACCATTATAAATATGACTAATATGAAACTTAAAAATCCAAAATTTTGAATGGAAGATTACAACAAAAAAAGTTTTACTAAATTTTAGGGAATCTAAAATTTTAAAATCTTGATTGGTTAAACCAAAATTTTAAAATGAGTTTTTGGAAAACAAAAACCAAAATCTCTCTCGAAATCTATAAAACATTCAAGGTTTATATTTTACATAAATATGATTTAACGGGTTTGAGATTTATGTTTTTCTTACGGGTTATCTTAACTTAAACATAATTTTTTTGTCCCGCGAATTACAAAAAAATATCCCGCGAGTTAAGTAATAAAAATAACAATAAAAAATACAGTTACACAATCTTAAACACTAAAAAGTAATAAAATTAACAAATATAACTTAAATATATATATTTTTTAGTCAAAACAATCGTCTCACGGTGTACAACGGATTAAACGGGTTAAAATCTAGTTATTATTAAATAACAAAACAAAATGAAATGAGAAAATGGCAGGAAATTTACAGAAAAAAAAAATACGATTAAAACTTTGACCAAAAAAAAAAATAACGATTAAAAAAAAACAAAAAAACTCTTAATTTAATATGACAAATAAGAAGTTTCCTCTACAACTCTACTAAAATCTCAGCTTCACCCCAATCGCTCGTATGACGGAGTCGTCGGATAAGTCACCGGTACGGCGACATGACGCGGCGAAGTGGCATAACAACTCCGAAGCAGTGTCTTCCTCTAGTTCCTTCACCGATTCCTCCGCCTCGACTTGTTCCATGGTGACGCCCTCTATGGAGTTCCCGGATCGTATCAGTTTCCGGGAAAGGGATTTGAGTGAAGCAGGTCCGAGCGGTGTCGTTCTTGCTTCTTCTCTTAGCTCAACGAACCGTGACAATACTGAGTTGACTCGTTCCGATTCGAGTGAGACTGAGGATATTACTGAGTTGATACCTTCCGAGTCGAGGGAGATTGAGAGTTTAAGTACTCCGGCAGGTACTGAGTTGGTATCTTCCGTTTCACCATCTTCGTTGATAGGTAGAATTGTAGCTCTGATTAGTCCGCGAGGGAAGTCTCTGAAGAAATCGCCGAGAAGGAGTGGAGATAAGGTTAGTCCGGGCCGGCGGTTACAGCGGCGTGATGCGGCGAAGAATATAGATTATGTTGCAGCTGAAGATGTTTCCGGTTCGAGTTCTTTGTTTACGAGTCGTTCTTCTGAGTTTCCGGATCGTACTAGTTATCGAATTGGAGGAGGTGGTGAGGGAGAAATGGATCGGATTTTTAGGGATCTTGATGTTTCTGGTCCTGATGATTTGGGTATATCTGTTGATGCTTGGGAAGGTCATAAGAAGCGTTCCTCTTCAGATGTTATTAATGGGTTTAAGTCTCTTGACCTTGATAGTCACAAGGTTTGGGATTTGGGTGGAGCAGGTCCTAGTGGTGGTGATGTTGTTGCTGCTTCTAATTTGATAAGTGCTGAGTCAAACGAGATTGAGAATCCTGCGGATATGGAAGTTGTTGGTAGTGGTACAGTGAAGTCAAGAGAGTATCTTGTTCCCAATGATGCGGTGGCTGTTGGTGGTGGAATTAAAGGGGTAAGACCACCGGTAATAAGCCTTCCTCTGGTGGATAAGGGAGTTGGTAATGGTGGTACGGTAGAGAATAGGCGTGGTATTAAGGGAGTAAGACCATCGGTAATAAACCTTCCTGGGGTGGATAAGGAAGTTGGCATTGGTGGTACGGTAGAGAATAGCCGTGGTATTAAGGGAGTAAGACCATCGGTACTTAAGCCTCCTCCGGTGATGAATCTACCTCCAGTTGATCTTCCCGGATCATCTTGGGATATCATTACTCATTTTGCTCCTGAAAGTGAAACACTTAGGCGGCCGAGTTCTTCTTCTTCTTCTTCAGAAAATGGTTTTGACGAAGAGGAAGTTGGGGATGAAAAAGTGGGAACTGAACAGACGGGAGATATGGTTATCGAGATGGAGGATATGACTGATGAGGCATGCTCATTCACTACAAACGAGTGTGACTCCTCAAGTACATTTTCGAATACCTCACCAATTGATGTCTCCGGAGGATCTATCAATACTTCTTGGCAGAAGGGTCCACTTCTGCGACAAGGATCATTTGGCTCTGTGTATGAAGCCATTTCAGAGTAAGTCTTACTGGTTTCTTATGTTTGTTGAACTTAAAATCAGATTCTTAGTTGCAAGTCGTTTTAAAAAAAAAGTAAACTTTCGATGAGGGGTACAAAGGTAGTTAGTTGAAAAAGGTTGTGCTTAGGCGACATATGCCTTTGGCTAATGGATGTTTATGCTAAATGTAGAGATGGGGGTTTCTTTGCTGTTAAGGAAGTTTCACTTCTTGATCAGGGAAGTCAGGCACTAAAATGCATACAACAACTTGAAGCAGTAAGATATATCTGGTTTCATATATGATCCCCAGCATATATCACTTTTTTCATTGTAGCATCATCTCATTGATCACTGAGAAGTAAGTTGCTAATCCTCCGTATCTTTGCCACATTTTTAATTTTATACAGGAGATTGCACTACTTAGTCAGCTTCAGCATCAGAATATTGTGCGATATCGTGGCTCAACCAACGTATGGTCTTGTTCTGGCTTTCTTGTTCTTAGTTGCAGCTACCTAAGCATTTTTTTGCGCAATTAATAAGTATTTTTGCTATTTTCAGGACGGGTCAAATTTGTATATCTTTCTTGAGCTTGTATCCCAGGGGTCCCTTCAAAAACTCTACCAAAAATTCCAGCTTCGGGACTCTGTGGTCTCATTGTACACAAAACAGATCCTTGACGGATTGAAATATATCCATGAGAAAGGTTTTATTCACAGGTTAGACTATCTTGTCATAGCGGTTCCTTGTTTTTCCAAGCCTCTTATTTCCTGCATATCCTGGGTTCCTTACTTTACTAATCTTATGTGTCAAAGGGACATCAAGTGTGCAAATATATTGGTGGACTCTATTGGCGCCATCAAACTTGCAGATTTTGGATTGGCAAAGGTTTTTCTCACTGATAGATGTTTATAGGTTTTGTTCTTAAGTAATAACCTGTGTCGCACCTGTGTCGCTTATTCGACTGACTTGGACCTGTGTCATTATGTTATTTAGGTGTCAAAGTTAAACGACATGAAGTCCTGCAATGTAACTCCATTTTGGATGGCTCCGGAGGTAATTGTTTTTGGATCCTTCCCTCTGTACAGATTGTGTTAATACAATGATATACAAACATATCATACAATATTAGCAAAAATATGTTATCGCCAAAATATGTTGTGATCCGGGATTGATAAGTGATAACCGCAAAGACCCCTGATTATATATGCTTCAAATTATTTTATTAAATATCTGTTTATGGTGTTTGTAGCTGTAGATATGTTTGTTTAGTTATACGTAACACATTTGGATTCCTTCCACCTTGATTTTACTTGAGGCTATACTTGTATGGTTCTTTCTAAATAGAACACAATCATTTGAACAGGTTATTAACCCCAAAAGTAATGATGGGTATGGAAGTCCAGCTGATATATGGAGCCTTGGGTGCACTGTGCTGGAAATGTGTACTGGTCAGATACCCTACTTTAATCTCCAACCCGTAAGTCTTCAAAATTTCAACTTTTCTTGACGATTGTTTTGGGTTTTATATAAAAATACACAAACAAAGCAGTTAGCTCAGGTTAATATGCAGTCTCATTACAGTGCTTTGTTTTTGCACCTTCAATTTAGTTGATGCTAAGATAATTAGAAACGCTGTTATGTTTCTTAACAACAAAATATATAGGAAAACTTAAAATTATTAAATGACATTTTGAACTTTTTTTTTCATGTAATGGGATTTTATGAATTATAGTTAGAATTTGTGCAAACGCGCAGGTGGAAGCCCATATTAAGATCAAAAAGGGTATGCTTCCAGACATACCTGATACTCTATCGCTAGACGCTCGTGATTTCATTATTACATGTCTCAAAGTGGCCCCGGAAGAGCGGCCAACTGCAGCTGAGCTGCTGAACCATCAATTTGTGAGAAGGCCCTTACCATCCTCGGGCTCAGGAGGCTTGGTTTCTCCACTTATTCGCAGATGAGGCTAACTTTCGTAGATTGCCAATATAGGTGACACTTTTGGTTATTTTTAATGGGAATATGTTAGAAACAAAAGCTATATATTCTAACATTGATGTCCTGTTATATGAGAGCAGGTGTACCCAGAAGATGTATGATGGAGTAGACCCTGTAGAAATGATTGTGGAGACACGAGATATGATTTTTCGACACACGTGCGGATTGGGTTGCGAAGCAAGAGCTAAACTTCCTGCAGACATTTCTTCAGGTAGTTTCTGTCACATTCGATGGTTGTCTGTTCTAAGTTGTGTGTTTGGCTTAGTTTTAAAAGTTAAAACTGAAGAGCCTAAATTGAATTAAAGTTTTGACTTTTGAGTGTATAGGTTTGTTTAGTTTTGTTGAATTATAGTGCACCCATATCATGTAATGTATAAGAAGAACCTTAAGAGTTTTGGGTGTATAGGTTTGTTTGGTTTGGTTTTGTTATATTATAGTGTATGCATGTTTATCCCATATCATGTAATGTATAATTGGTTTGGTTCTTATATATAGTTCCTGCTGGTTGTAACGGTGTACACATCTCATGTCTCGTTGGGTTGTATCTCAATTTGTCTCATACACTTATCGCTTAACTTGCATGCCATACATACTATAATTGAACAAAACTAAGGCTCTGGTAATATTACATTATCACATAACGTAAATTAAACTCGTCAAATAAAAACTTGTAGATTGAAAATTACACCCATAAAAAAATGACTTTAAAAAATATGTTGATTGGATACATTTTGCGGACCGATGGATTATAATACTATAATACCACAATACAAGTTATTTTATAATTTAATATTCGTTTAAAAGTCGTCGTCAACTTTTTTTGTTTGTTTGCAACTACAACATATATGTCTTGTTGGGTTTCCAACTTGTTTCTTAAGTCAAGCTTTTAGTCGTCGTCAACTTCTTTTGTTTGCTTCATCCTTTTTTTCTAACAGTGACACTTCTATACTTACTCTCTTTCTCATTGACGTCATCTACAGACTACAATGGATATCAGTGATACTTTCACCGGTGAAATTATGGTGAAGTCCATAGGGTGTCTTATCCCTAACGATGTTGTGGCTATTCATGGTGGGATAAAACCACCAGTACTTAAGCCCCCTCCGGCAATGAAACTACCTACAATTGATCTTTCAGGATCATCTTGGGATTTCCTCACACATTTCGCTCCAAGTGATATAGTTAAGCGGCCGAGGTCCTCTTCTTCTTCAGATAATAGCTGTGATGAAGAGGAAGTGGAAACGGAAGAGACGGGAGGTAAGGTTATCCAGTTGGGGGATACGGCTCATGAGGGATGCTCCGCTATAGATGAGGGTGACTCCTCAAGTATGATATTATCCAATAGTTCTTCGATTTATGCCTCTAGAGGATCTATCATTACTTCTTGGCTACAGGGTCAAGTTCTGGGACGAGGATCAGTTGGTTCTGTGGATGAAGGCATTTCAAAGTATGTGCTTGTCTGTTGATTCTGAAATCAGAATTCTTGGTTTTTCTAGTAAAAATAGAGTTTTTTTTTGTGCCTTTCGCTGATAGTTGTTGATGGATGTTTATGTTAGTCTTTAGATCAAACTATAGAATTTTATTTTCTATAGGAGTTAGCACTACTTATTCAGCTTCAACATCGTGATATTATTTCTTCTTCTAGTTCCTCCATTGATTCCGAATCAACTTGCTCCTTTATGACGCCCTCTCTGGGCTTCCCGGATCGAGTCAGTTTCCGGAAAATGGATTTCAGTGAAGTAGGTCCTAGTCGGCACGTTTGGGATAATCGTAAAGTGATGCTTCCCAAGTTGATGACTGAAAATATTTACAATCCTGAGGATATGGTACCAGTGAAGTCTTGGATGAAGGGTCAACTTTTGGGAAAAGGATCATTTGGCTCTGTGTACGAAGCCATTTCAGAGTAAGTTTTACTTGCTGCTTATATATGTTAAAATCGGATACTTAGTCACAAGTGGTTTTTTAAAAAGTAGACTTTCAATGAGGGAAACTGAGGTAGTCATTTGAAAAATATGTTTGGCTAATGGATGCTTATGTGAAATGTAGCGATGGGGACTTCTTGGCTGTCAAGGAAGTTTCACTTCTTGATCAGGGAAGTCTGGCACAAAGAGGCATAAAACAACTTCAGAGGGTATGGAAGTTTTATATATGAATCATAATATGATCACTTTATTTTATTTACACTTATTACTCAGAAGTAAGTTGCCAATCCTCTTTAGGTTTGCCACATGTTTCATTTTCTACAGGAGATTGCACTACTTAGTCAGCTGCAGCATCAGAATATCGTGCGATATCGTGGCACAGCAAAGGCATGGTCCAGCTATGGGTTTCCTTTTCGTAGTTGCAGTTGCCTGAAGTATTTTGTTGTGCAACTCATAACTCATTCCACTATTTACAGGACAGATCAAATTTGTACATCTTTCTTGAGCTTGTATCCCAAGGATCCCTTCAAAATCTCTACAAAAGATACAAACTTATAGACTCTGTAGTCTCCTTGTACACAAAACAAATTCTTGATGGTTTGGAATATCTCCACGATAAAGGCTGTGTTCACAGGTTTGCCTAGTAAACTCTCTTGTAATAGTATTTTTTAATACTCTGGAATATATCTTGGGTTACTTACTTTTCACATCTTATGTGACAAAGGGACATTAATTGTGCAAATATATTGGTGGACACTAATGGCGCCGTCAAACTTGCAGATTTTGGGTTGGCAAAGGTTCTTTTCCATTAATAGATGTTTATATTTTTGCTCTTATATATGTCAAACTTGGTACAGTATATCACTTATATAGCCCCCTTACTCGATACCTGCATGTGTCATTTTGTTATTTAGGTGTCAAATAACATGAAGGCCTGCAAGGGAAATCCATTTTGGATGGCTCCAGAGGTATCGTTTTGGGATCCTTCGTACTGTTTTGGTTATGTGAATACAATGATAGGCAAGCATATGATACATAAGCAGAAACTTAGTTGTATCTTGAACTGTTGTTTTAAAAATGTTGCTCATTCCCCTTACTTACTAGGACATTACATCCTGCATGGAAAGTCAATTCATTTCTAGATGTAATCATACGTAACAGATATGTGAATTCATATCACTTTGATTGTACTTTAAGCTATACTGGCACGGCTCTTTCTAAATGGAACATAATCATTTGATCAGGTTATTAAGCCCAAGCTTAATTGTGGTGGGTATGGAAGTCCAGCTGATATATGGAGCCTCGGGTGCACTGTGCTCGAAATGCGTACTGGTCAGATCCCCTACTATGATCTAGAACCCGTAAGTCTTCACAACAAAATATATAGGAAAACTTGATAAATCTTAAACAACATTTGCACTGTCTTTTGTATGTTATAATGGGATTTCATGAGTTAAAATCAGAGTTTGTGCAAACACGCAGGTTCAAGCCTTGTTTAGGATCGCAAGGGGTACGCTTCCAGAAATACCTGGTTATTTATCACTAGACGTTCGGGATTTCATACTAAAGTGTCTCAAAGTGAACCCCGATGAACGACCAACTGCAGCCGAGCTGCTAAGCCATCCATTTGTGAGAAGGCCCTTAACCAGAGGATCAGGATCTCGGTAGATGAGGTAAAGCTTTTAGTTTCGTGTTGATGACTGATGAGATTATATCTGAATCAAAAGCTGATATACAGATATACTCAACATGGAAGTCCTATTGTATGAGAGCAGGCATAACCAGACGATTTTTGAGAAAAGAGACTCCATATTAGAAAAGAGACTCCATAGAAACTATGTGGGAGAGTCGAGATATGATGACTCTTTGTCACACTTGCGGTTTGGGTTGTGCAGCAAACTCATTTGCCTATTGGGCTTCATTTTAAAAATATTGGCATAGTTTTTTGGAAGTATACCATAGTGCCTACCTTATATCATGTTACTAGTGACTTGGCCAGATTTATTTATGATTCTCCAGGCTTGTTATCTCTTGATCCTGCGAGCTGTAATGCATAACCAATAACATGAAACCGAGTCAATAAGAAACACAATAAAAAGTGAGCATAGGTTTTGTAGTATACAAAGCAAACCTTTGCAATAAAGCCAATACCAAAAAACTACACGAGACTAAAGAGTACGTAATAGAGTAACTTAGAATCCAGAAATATTGTGATTCTTTCATACAAACATGGTTAACTCTGATCGGCTATACACGTGGTTCTGCTCATCTTCAAGAACCGGGTAAGCAGCAACAAGCGTGTCCTGAGCACCAATGTATAGAGAATTGTAAATCTTCCAGTACACTTCGCGGACTTTAAGTGCTGGATGAAACAAGCCCTGCAAACAATAGTTCAGAATCACAGCTGCACCTAATGCAATTCGCATTCCTTCACAGCGTTAATGACGTAGGAAGATGTCTCAAAAACGTCGGGCCAAATGAAGTTAAGTAAGTGAACAAGAGCATCTTCGCATCGCAAACCTGCTACACCTAAGGTCATATATATCACGGCTGAAGCTAAAGTTTGTCTATGAACCAAATCTATGTCCATGAGAGCGTCCTCGAGCAACGGTGTGACTACGCATGTGTAATCTTTGCCCATTTCTTCAATGTACTCAAGGAGGAAATAAAAATATTTCAGAACACCATTTTGGACGTTTAAAAGCTTCAAATATTATGATATTTAATTTAAGCTTTATAGAATATTAAAAATATTTAAACTTTACAAAAGATTAAAGTAATATTAATATTTTAATTCTAAACAAAATTAAAATATGATTGAACAAGTTTGAGTTTACACACAAAAATGATTATATTTTTTTACCGGATGTCTTTATTTAAAAAATTTTACTGGTTAATTTAAAATATGAATTTTTTTATTTTGAAAAAATCATTCCGCAGTATAGCACGAGTTAAATTCTAAGTGTAATGTATAATTGTAGTTGGTTCTTATATAGTTGGATTTTATGCAAATAAACCCTCAAAGTCGCCATTTTTTGCAACTTTATCCTCTAAATCTAAAAAATACAAGTCAATCGTGTAAAGTCAGATAAATACGCAATATAAACCGTTTTTGTTACTATCATGTTTGTAAAAAAAAATTGAAATAATATATCAAATCGAATCTCTCGTAACTAAAAGTTCACATATATCTTTAGAATTTTCAAAAATAAACATAAGTGGCCGTAATATCGTTTAGAAGAAAAATGATCTTGTAAAAGGGCTGTATTGCGTGTAGTTATTGATTTAGTATGAGTGTTTTGCATTTTTTGGAAATGGAGGGTAGAATTGCAAAATTTGACTACAATACTTCAATAGTTTATTTGCACAAATATAACTGTAATTGTGGAATAAAATATTGCAGAAAAGAAAAATCACATAATAAAATTGCTTAAAAATTTATTGATTGGAGACATTTTATTGAATTATGGAATAGTAATTTTATCCTAGTTGAAAATTGATATTTTTTTTTTCTTTTGCCAAACTTTTTTTTTCTTGAGATAAATGAACAGTAGCACATTTCCTGTAATGTGTATATGAATTTTCCAAAAATTTATATTTCTTTGTATTTGGACGTATGAAATTTATTATATTTCAACTCTTAAATCTAAAGGCCTGACTGGTTTAAACGCTGCGGTTGCTGTTGCGGTTGCGGGATTTTGCGGAAGCGGGCGGTTACGGTTTCAAGTGTTATTAAGCGATTTAAACGTCTCGTTTAGCTTTTAAAAATGGGTGCATTTGCGGGAGTTTTATGACTGGTTAACCAGCGGCTGCAATGGCTGTTACATCAAAAATTACAAAATTAAATATAAATATAATTTTAAAAATGTATAAATATACCAATACTATATTATTATGATAAAATATATTGAAAAAATGAATATGATTAATAACTAAAAACCATAAATAAATTACTGAATTATTATTTAAAACAAATATTTTTTAGTAAAATATATTTATGTAAAATTATAAATATTTTAAATATGATTGAAAATTACATATCATAAATTATTTCTAAATATATATACTAAATAATTATTCAAATGTTAAATAAATAAACTTTATAAGATTTGTTTTTGGTAAGATACATTTTATAAGATTTGATAATATTGGAAATTAAATTTAGAGAATAATTATTATTTATGAATTAATGTGAATATATAAAAGATTTGATAATATATATTTTATTTTGCAGATTTTCCTTTTTCAGTTTCTTTCTTTTTTAAAATCAAACGCAATCGCTCGCTACCGCAAACGCTTGCGGAAAGAAGCTTTTGAAATCCAGCGATGAAATCCAGCGATTTCGAGCGATCCCAAGCGGTATGGAGCGTTTTGTACCAAACGCTAGTAAACGCAATCGCCCGCTAGCAAGCGCTAGGCGGGTGAGAGCGTGAGAGCCCATCAACACCTAATATGATGAAATTATTAATTCCTTTATAAAATAATAATAGTACAAAATAAATTAAAAATTATATCTATCATGCCTCTCAAATTTCTATACTCTTTACCCCTATCAGACTTTACCAAGTTGCCCACAAAAATAATACTAAAATCTGGAACAATTTTTCCAAATTCAATATTCAAATTATTATTCAGATTTTTATTACTATTAAACTATGTAAAGTTATGTACACCAAAATTTTCACAAGTCAGTCGTCACTCGTCAACTTCTTTTGTTTGTTTCTTCCTTTCTCCTAAGAGTGTTAGTGTCACTACGAATTGCTTCGAAATTTCCACTTTTATATGCCTTCTCTAGAATGGCCTTCACCGATACTATCGCTGGTGAAATTGCGACGGAGCTCTAGAAGCAGCTCTGTGTGATATCTACAAAAGCATGGAGATACAAAAACACCGCAGATCGACTCATCACCTTGATCAACATCATTCAACCGATGATCCAGGAGATCCAGTACAGCGGCGTGGAGCTACCTGCTCACCGCCAGGCTCAAATCCGTATCAGAGAAAGGCATGAAACTCACCGGAAAAGTCCTAAGCTCTCGTCAATGGAATTTATATCGACAGATAACTCTAGCGGCGAAAATGGAAAAGCTCGAGAAGACAGTTTATAGTTTCCTTAACGCTGGGATTTTTACACACGTCCTTGTTGACCTTAATGGCCTTCGGGCGGATTACAATGTCCGGCTTGACCGTCTTGGTAGAATTGAAGGTTAGAAACTCTTCTCTTATCTCTTTTCAAACCATAATACAGATCTTGAACACTAATTGATAAGCTTGGAGTTACAGTTCTCCAATCTCATATCTTAAGAACATAAGCTCTAACAACTAAAATGATCACGCAGGATAAACTTCACAATAATCCTCACATTTACATATTGGCCTTGAATGGTTACTAGATTTTAAGTAGATTTTGGCTTTAGTTTTTCTAAAAATCTGATTTACTTTCAAGATTTTGCAAAATTGGTTTCCCGGCGGAATCTAGATTTTGGAAAATTTTACCTATTTTCAAAGAAAAACCAAAAACACTTTAGAGTGGTTTCTTAGTGTTAATTCTATCATTTTTCAATTTTGATTATTTATTTTTTCATTTTACCAAAAGTTTAACAAAAACCAAAAACCAAATATTTAGAAACTAAAAACTAAAATCCAAATATTTAGCTTTCTTCTTAGCTTCTTCATGTGCTCAGCAACGTCCAATGATTCTTTTATTCACTCTTCTGCAGCCATCTCTTCTACTTATGAAGCAGGTCCTAGTGGTACTGTTGCTAATTGGGAATATACTGAATCGACACGTTCCCAGACTATTGGAGATTTTAGTAGCAATTCGGAGAATATGGTGCTAGTCATGTCTTGGCTTAATAGTCAACTTCAGCACCATAATATCATGTCTTCTTCTGGTTCCGATTCCGGCTCGACTTTTTCCTTGGTGACTCCTTCTCTGGAGTTCCCGGATCGCATCAGTTTCCGGGAAATAAATTTGAGTAAACGCATTTCAGAGTAAGTCTTACTGAACTTAAAATCAGATTCTTAGTTGCAGGTCGTTTTAAAAAAAGTAGTCTTTCAGTGAGGGATACCAAGGTAGTCTCAGTTGTATATGGTGCTAAGCCAACTCATGAGTTTGACTAATGGATGGTAATGTTCAATGTAGAGATGGGGACTTCTTTGCTATCACTGAAGTTTCAAATCTTGCTCAGGGAAGTCAGGCACAAGAATGCATACAACAACTTGAAGGGGTGAGATATATCTGGTTTATGATCTTCAGCATATTTGATTACCATTTTAGCATTATATCATTGCTGTATCTTTCATATTATACAGGAGAGTGCACTACGTAGTCCGCTTCAGCAACATAATATCATGTCTTCTTCTAGTTCCTCTGTGAATTCCGAATCGACTTTTTCCTTGGTGACGCCCTCTCTGGAGTTTCCAGATCGCATCAGTTTCCGGAAAATGGATTTGAGTGAAGCAGGCCCTAGTCGAACAAAACGCATTCGGGAAAATAGTAAATCAACAAGTTCCAAGTTGATCGAGACTGAAAATTTTGGCAATCAGGATGATATGGAACTAGCCACGCCTTGGCAGAAGGGTCAACTTCTGGGACGAGGATCATATTGCTCTGTGTACGAAGCCTTTTCAGAGTAAGTCTTACTGGTTGCTTATGTTTACTGAACTTCAGATCAGATTCTTAGAAAAACAGACTTTCAATTAGGGATACAAAGGTGGTCAGTTGAAAAATGTGGTGCATAGCCAGCACAACATATGTGTTTGGCTAATGGATGTTTATGTCGAATGTAGAGACGGGGACTTTTTTGCTATCAAGGAAGTTTCACTTCTTGAGCTGGGAAGTCAGGGACAAGAATGCATACAACAACTTGAGGGGGTATGGAAGTTTCATATATGATCCGCAGCATCATCTCATTTTAAGCTTTGCCACGGTTTTCATTTTCTACAGGAGATTGCACAACTTAGTCAGCTACAGCATCAAAATATTGTGCAATATCGTGGCATAACCAAGGTATAGTCCTGTTCTTGCTTTGTTGTTCTCAGTTGCATCGTATTGCCTAAGTATTTTGTTGCGCAATTAATCAGTCATTTTGGCTGTTTTCAGGACGCTTCAAATTTGTACATTTTTCTTGAGCTTGTATCCCAAGGGTCTCTTCTAAAACTCTACCAAAGATACCAGCTTCGGGATTCTGTAGTTTCCTTGTACACAAGACAGATTCTTGACGGTTTGAAATTTCTCCACGATAAAGGTTTTTTTCACAGGTTAGACTCTATTATCATAGATGTCTTTATATTTTCAAAGCCTTTGATTTACTGCATATACTGGGTTACTTACTTTCCTAATCTTATGTGTTGAAGGGACATCAAATGTGCAAATATATTGGTGGACACTAATGGCTCTGTCAAACTTTCAGATTTTGGATTGACAAAGGTTATTTTCCATTTATAGATGTTTATAGTTTGTGCTCTAAAGTAATAACCTGGTACATCGCTTATTCCCCGGAATTGGTACCTACAGTAAAACCTCTATAAATTAATAATGTTGAGACCAAAATATTTTATTAATTTATAGTGATATTAATTTATCTATAAATTAATGTTTATTATTTTATAGTGTAAATTAATAATTATTAATTTATAGTGGTATTTTTAGTTTTTTCAAACTTTAAAAAATACGAATTGACACAATTTTACAAAAATAAGACTAACTTTATAAATTTTATAAATTATACAGTATTTTGAAAGTGAATATTATATTTAGAAAAAATAAATTTGACTATAAATACAAATATTATACATTAGTTCAAATGTATATTAATAACCTCAATTGTTATACTTTAACATCCTATATGTTAAAAATGAATCTGATGTATATTTAAAAATTGAAAACATAAAGAAAATTTGGTTATTATTATGACTTGTGATGGTATATATTACAAGATTATTGTTTTTAAAAAAGTACTAACATAAAATTATTTTTTGAGGTGAACTCTAGGAGAAAATTCATCTTTACAAAAAAACTAAAAACATATATTAATATATCTACTTATACGTATATATAGAGTGATTATTAATTTATGATATTATTGGGACTATATTTTACATAAGAATGTCAAAATAATTATTATCTTATTATCTTATCGAATTTAGTCAATTTTTACACTGACCCGACTTGGGACTAGCAAAAATTATTAATTTATAGTGTTTATTAATTTATAGAGTATTAATTTATAGAGGTTTTACGGTATGTTATCTTGTTATTTAGGTGTCAAAGTTAAATGACATTAAGGCCTACAAGGGAACTCCATTTTGGATGGCTCCGGAGGTAATTGTTTAGGATTGTTTGAATACAATGATAGACAAACATATCTTACGATGTTGGATGATAATATTTTATACTTGTACGGTTCTTTCTAAATAGAAGATAAACATTTGATCAGGTTGTTAACACCAAGGGTAATGATGAGTATGGAAGTCCAGCTGATATATGGAGCCTTGGGTGCACTGTGTTGGAGATGTTGACTAGAAAGATCCCTTACTCGGATTTAGAACCGGTAAGTCTTCAAGATTCTTAAACTTTTTTCGTATACAATAAGTGGAATTCCGAAATATACACAAACAAAGCATTTATCTTAGTTTAATATGCAAACTTTTTGTTAACAACAAAATCTATATTAACATTTTTGAAGTAACTTTTGTGTTCAACCTTTTTATTTTGTAATATTTACATAGTTAAACCATTGCTGTTTAATTAAATAACAAAAGTTTAGAATAAATTGTGTAAATAAATCATAATTAAATTACAAAATTAGAAATCAGTATTTATTACATTTAACAAAATTTCCTAAAATATCTCTCTAATAAACTGAATTTTTTTTAAATATCTTTAAATGATCTTATTTGTTTTTAATATTTATATTCTTACATGTAACATATGTATCATAATAACACAAATTTTTTTCCGCATATGTTGCAATATGAATTTTTGAAAACGGACGTATATTAATCGGTACATAAAATGGATGTATTAAAATATTATTGGTAATTGTGTATCACGGGTCATGTGATGGAACAAATTATAAATTACATAATTATGATTATAAATGTTTTTACGGGTTGTCTGCTATAGTATAACTCACAAAATATTTTAATATAAAACTATACTATTTAAACGAAAAATGTTATCTCAACATCATTTTATTATTTAATTAAGTTGATCAAATTATGATTATATAAAATATAAATTGTCATACAAACATTTTACGGGTTAATTATAGAACTAAGTATCAAAATATATTAGTACACTCTTATATACCAAACAAAATTAATAAAAAAATATATACATTTTAGAATATCGTCTTGCGGTGTACCGCGGGTTAAAATCTAGTATATATGAAAACTTGAAAAATCGTAACCAACATTTTGCACTGTGATTTGTATGTTATAATGGGATTTTATGAGTTGAAATAAGACTTTTTGCAAACGCGCAGATTCAAGCCCTGGTTAGGATCAGAAAGGGTATGCTTCCGGAGATACCTGATACTCTATCACAAGAAGCTCGTCATTTCATACTTAACTGTCTCAAAGTGAACCCGGATGAGCGACCAACTGCAACTAAACTGCTGAACCATCCATTTTTGAGACAGCCGTTACTATCCTCGGGGTCAGGAGACTCAGTATCTCCGCTTATTCGTAGGTGAGTCTAATTTTAGTAGATTGCCAATAGAGGTAACGCTTTTGGTTTCTTTTTGATGAGATGATATTAGAATCAAAAGCTATATATTCTAACATTGATGTCTTGATTGTATGAGAGCAGGTGTAACCAAAAGATTTATGAGGGAGCTGAACCCTTAGAAACTATTGGGGGAGACACGAGATATGATTCCTGTTTACACGTTCGGTTTGGGTAAGAGCTAAACTCCTTGGAGACATATCTATAGGTAGTTCATGTCTCATTCCATGGTTATTTGTTGTAAGTTGTGTGTTGGGCTTATTTTTAAAATTTGAAGAGCCTTAATTTGATTTAGAGTTTTGGGTGTATGCATGTTAATCCCATACCATGTTTAGTTGGTTCTTGTATATAGTTCCTGCTTGTTGTAACTGTGTACACATGCATACACTATAATTTAACAAAAACTTGGTCTTTTGGGACATGATTACGAGTTCTGTTCCCCGTTGCTGTGATGATACTCTTGTCCTCTCCTCTCACCATCACTGCCTTTGGCATAGTACGAGACGTCCCTAATGTCACTAATGACATCTTGAGAGGAGTTAATTCCGGTGGAAACTATCTTAATAACAACCATTAGGAGCTAATATAATGGATGTGAATTGATTTTTTTTTGTAATACTAGGTTATTAATCCGCGCTACCAGAACCACACAGAAGAGGCGTTTAGTCTTTATACAGTCCACCCTAGTGCATATCATTGTAACATAAAAACAAAACATCACAAATACATTAGCCTCCACTTCCGGTTACAGCAACAGTATCGGCTTATTGTGAGCTTCCGCTTCCATCTGATGATAGGCTTCGACAAAGGCTATCCCAAAGCCATGCTGAGCTTTCAGTACAAGGCATCAGTTTTACAGGCTCTGCTAAGACAAAATTGTAACCTTCCATATACAAACTTCGAATCACAGTTTCCGTCAACTCTTCTTTCAAGTTCTTCTAAGAATGTCTAGTAGCATCTTATGATCTCTAGCATCTCCATAAGCTTCAACAACTTGGGGGACAAAATTGATACTGATTCCTGCAGCCTCATATTTATCTATCAGTTCTTGTTTCGTTGGGTGATTTACTTTTATCATCTTCGTACAAAAACATTGACACAAGACCATCATAACAACCTTTATTCTTAAGAGCTGATTTGATATACTTGGAGATCAAGTAAGCATCACAATCAACGATCGGGAAATCCACCACGTCCCGGAACACACCTGTGCTTGGCGTATATCTTGCCCAGTAAGGATCATCCAAGTGAGACCTGTTTCCCCGGATTACATGCTTTCGTCGGCAGACATGGACCTTTTTGCGGGGAACTACAACATTGGATACTCTTTGAACAAACAAAACAAACGTAAACTATGACTAGCGGTGTCAAAATGGGAAATCCAACTCAACTCAACTCATTAATGATAAATAGCTAATTATTTTAGAGTTAAATGGGTAATGAGTTGGTTCAACTCATTTGTTTAAATGAATTGAATCAGCCTTTATAATTGGTTAAGTGGTTAAATGAGTTGACTCATTAATGATAATAATTAATTATTTTTTTAAAATAAATAAATAAATTTTTATAATCATCATATATCATCATTATATATCTTCATATCATCATTATCAATTAATCATCACCATGGTTGTGTTTTTGGCAGGAAAATTGTGCATTTACGTTTTTGACTGAAAATTACTGGTTTACATTTTTGGCGGGAAAATTATGGATTTACGTTTTTGGCGGGAAAACTTCAAATTTACAGTTTTTGTTGTATCATTACCAGCCAAGACATGGTTGAACACAAGGATCCATCAAAGTCGTTCGACATAGTAACACTTAACAATTTAGCTCAGTGGCTGTGAGTTTTGCACTACATTAAAGTATTAACTCTTCAAGCTTTTGATGTGATCAGGCAGACTATTATTATGCACACCCACAACACTGCAGACTTATATGTCTGTTCTTGGTAGATCCTAATCTCTGGTTTACCTCTGCTAACTCACCTGTCCAGTATCCATTAAACAGCGACCAGCTCATTTTTGGTTAACTATGACTTTTCGTGCAGTAAACTGCATATACTGAGAGAAGAGATTGCCACGACTTCTGAGCACTAAACAGATTCAAGAATTAACAACTAAAGAAGGTCCACTAGTGGGAATATGCGATATAACTTGTGATATTTGATGGCTCCATTGAATTTCTTAACCGAGCTACTCTAATCGATTCAAATTTACAGTTATTAAGTTTAAAATTATATTACTTATCAAAGCGAATTGGTAGTGTTGATTTTTTGTTTGTAGTAATTTTTAGTAGTCCACATTATTATTGGTAGTTTTTTGGGTTTAGTATTTTTATTTATTGCAACGTTGATTATAATTTTTTTATTAGTTCACATTAGTATTTAAAAATAAATATGGTAGAAAAGAAACGGCTCTTAGTTTATTAAATTAAATCAATTTAAAAAAACAAACATCCTAAATAGAAAAATATCAAATGTAACATGTTAAGAGATCGATAAATTCAATATAGAAATAAAAATTACTATCTTTGTTAAGTTACTGTTCAAATATAAATATTTACATAGATATATGGTAGGTCAGTGTATTTTTATTTGATTGATTTACATACAAATTAAAAAAATGTAATTTATCAATAATAGTAAGCTATTTAAGAAGTAAGGATGTGTTAATATGTATAATATTTGGTAGTTCATATAATTGATATTGAGATATTTTGAAGTTAAATTCAATATATGATATTACAAATCTACAATATGTGAAATAAGTTAGTAATTTTAGAGTTTGTTTAATGGTTCAAAACCGCTATGGTATTCTTGTCCCACAATGGATTAAAAAAATATAACCCGAAAAAAAAATCATAAGAAACCAGCATGAGTGAATATTCCATAGTATGCATGTATCTGCCTCGACTTAGTCACTTTCTTTTAAATAGTTTGAAAAGTATTATACTTAGTCACTTTCTTTTAAATAGTTTAAAAGTATGACTTGTGAAATATATTCTTGTGAGGTCCCAGAACAGTACATATAAGTTTCACAAAAACAGTACAAAGGGCATTTCTTATACATCACAACATGTTGTCCAAAAAAAAAATTAAAAAAAATACATCACAACAATGGGAAAGGTTAGTAACGATTATATATTATCTGGCCAGGAGATAAACTTTCAGAAATCCTCCATTACCTTTGGGAAGAAGTTGGATCCAATTATGCGAAGGTTGTTGGGGTTATTCTCTGGCATTGAACAAGAGAATGGAGCTGGTAAGTATTTGGGTCTACCGGAATGTTTTAGTGGTTCAAAGCGAGACCTCCTACACTATATTAATAATAGATTAAAGTCAAGGCTGAGCGGATGGTTTGAGAAGACGCTATCTTTGGGAGGAAAGGAGGTTCTTCTTAAGTCTGTTGCTTTGGCATTACCTGTGTATGCTATGTCTTGCTTTCGGCTGACAAAGCACCAATGCAAGCAGCTGAGAAGTGCTATGAGTCAGTTCTGGTGGAATTCACATGAAGGTAAACATAAGATGCACTGGGTCTCTTGGGAGAAAATGTGTCAAAGAAAGGAGCGGGGAGGTTTGGGATTCCGTGATATTGGTCGTTTCAATCAGGCATTGCTTGCAAAACAGGCTTGGAGACTTTTGACCTCTCCCTCATCCTTACTAGCGAGAGTATATAAAGCTGTTTATTTCGCCAATAAACCTTTCCTTGAGGCTTCATTGGGTCATAGACCTTCCTATGCATGGCGAAGTATTCTTTTTGGTAAGGAGCTGTTAGAAAAAGGTCTTTTGAAATCTATTGGTGATGGAAAGGATACTTTTGTGTGGGTGGACAGATGGATAGTTGATGACCCCCCAAGGCGACCAAGTAATAAAGAGCTTTTCATTGATGTGAGGATGCGAGTTTCTGCTCTTATTACGGCTGCAGGGGATTGGAATGTTCCTCGGTTACATGATCTTTTTTCATCAAATGATGTTAGTCGAATCTGCTCATTTCCGCCGGCTTTGTTCTGGTGTTGTTTGGTATACTAAACATTCGAATTATCCAAAAAAATTGAAATTTATCCAAAAAGGTGTGTAAACTCATATAAATATACACACGTTACATTTATATATATATATAAATACAGTAAAAATAAATTTTTAAAACCATTTAGAAACTTTATAAAATCTTATAATCCTTTTCTAAACCTTGTAATCCTAGTTTAATACCTTTTAAAACCTTATAAATATTTTGATCTGAGTCTCTAAGTAGTCGTTATTATCTATAAGTACCTTAAAAACCATATAAAACATATGAAAATTGGAAATAAGAGACATTTAAAAAAAAATTTGTCCATATATACCTTTTTCTAAAAGTTTGGTGAATTAAGATTTAATGTAGATTAAAATCCATTTATACCCTCAAAGTATAATTAAGGTAATTTTTTAAAAACTATTTTATGAATTAATTAAAGCATAGAAAAAACATTTGGGCATGCACGTCTGGTTCCTTTCGATCCAGCCAAGTGATGATGACAAGTACTGGAACGTTGCGAAGAGTTCTCTTGCTTTATATTGCTTGTTACATTTTTCCGATCAATCTTCTCCATATCGATGGGTATCACTACAAACATTAAAAAAATGGAATATAATGGTACGTTGCACCATCAAAAACCTATATATTTACCAGTGCAAATACAAATGTATATTCTCTCTTAACTAAGAAATATAACGAACCCAATTATTATAAATTTAAATCACTAACATGAAGGAACACAATGGTTTGGGATAAAATTGGAACTATCAAAGTTACAAATGTTGGAAGATATCGATAAAGAATTTCTATTTCATTTTAATTCTCTCTCACACATATGAATCATGTAACTAACATTTTATGATCAATGGATTCGTGGAATGAAGAAGATGACAATATAGATTGCATTGAAGACAAAGACATGATTACTAAAACCACACTAATGAAAGAAGACATGATTAAATCATAGTGGTCGTGAAAAAATTACGAAGCGAAGATCGGATTACCTTAAAGCTTGACTTTGCCCTTGAGAGAGAAGTGGCTTGGTACGTACCAAAAGTTCCGTGGAACAGAACCACTTGTGACTGAATCGTGATTCCGAAAGTTCCGTGGAAACAGCACAATGTTTCAATTGCGAAGTGAGATCCTTTGTCGGTTACAATTGCGAAGTGAGATCCTTTGTTTTACGAAACAAGTAAGTTTTTGTTAGTTTGCAGCATTTTATTCATTATTTCTTTCTTAATGCTTCAGCTCTATGTTTGGTTTCATCTCTTGATTCTTTATTTCTTAATTAGTAATTTTGGTCTCTTTCTACAGGTTGATCCTCTTATTTACTTTCCTAATGATCCGATTTCCTTTCCATTCTTAATTAACTGAATATTTTTCAGAATACATATTCAAAACTATTTTAGGATATATATTCTACATTTTTCAGAACATGTAGTAAATCGTAGGATACATATTCTGAATTTTGTAGAACAGAGAATATTTTTAGTATATATATTCTGAATTTCGTAGAACATACAAAATTTTGTATTCTAAAACTTTTGGAACATGTTTTCAGTTCTAAAATTCGTAGAACATGTACAAAATAGTAGAATGGATAATCTAAATGTTTCAGAACATAAGAATACATAATCTAAATTTTTTAGAAATAAGAAAACGCTTTCTAAACTTTTGAGAACAAAAATCATCTATGTGAAAAACCATTATTTTTCAAAAAAATTGAAAAGCATTTTCTTCAAATATAATTTATAACGACTTATTTACATTATTTGATTATTTCCAACTTTAAAAAACCCTTAAAATTTGATTTATATGTTAGTAGGGATAGTTTAGTTAAGATTGACAATTTCTAAAAAAAAGGTATATATGGACAAAGGTTTGAAAATATATATCTTTTTCCAATTTTCCCATAAAACTTTATAGTTTTTCAAATTTAAAAATGAGTATTTTTAAAAATGGATAGATAAAAAGAGTAGTTGTAAAAAGGGTACACGAAAAATAGCATTTCTCAAAAATTCTACATGTGTTAAAAATTTAAAAATCATAACATTAATAAACAATTGACAAAAACAGGTATACCAAAAGAGTGGTATATTACCAAAGTTCCTATGGTTGGTTCTCTTGGTCTGGTGTTCCTATTATATATAGTCTACTAGTGGCCGTTGACGAAACAAAGTCTTTTATCTATTCTTGTGGGAATCTCAAGAATGGGATATTACTTTATTCTTCAGCTGACGTTTCTAAAAGACTTCAATTGATTAAAATTTTCTCAGTTTCTTGAATCCAATTGTCAGGTTTTGTTTTTTTTCTTCGATGCCATAAGTGTTTCAATTTCTGCTATATAAGGTTTCATTTGTGTTTCAGACATGAGAGGATCGATTGTTACAACACTGGTGACTGTTGTATCACTTCTTGGAGCAATTCAAGAAGTGAAGTCTCATAAAGACCAACCTTTATCAAGAATTGCTATCCATAAAACAAGATTCCATCTCAATGTACAAGCTTATGTCAAAGCTTCTCCATCAGTTCTTGGATCTAATGTAATTACCATTTTTTCTTCTTTCTTCAGATTTTGATGAAACTGTGAACTTCAATGTGGCTTCTCTTTTTTGGCAGGGTCAACATAGTGAATTCGTTATGGTTGAATATAGTTCTCCAAAACCAACTCATGATGATTGGATTGGAGTGTTTTCTCCTGCAGATTTCAAGTAGTTTAACACAAATCTTCTTATCAGATTAGTACTGCAGAAATTGAAAATGATAAAAGTCTTTGTAACACTTATATTGTTCCTGCAGTGCATCTACTTGTCCAGGAGATAACAAAATGGTGGAAACACCTCGAATATGCTCTGCACCAATCAAGGTCATTGTTTTTTTTTGCTCATTGTCTGATTCTGCTTTTCTTATCTATAGCAAGTCTTTAGCTTTTTGCTCCTTTCTTTTGTCTCTTTACAGTTTCAGTATGCAAACTTTAGTAATCCAAGATACAGCAATACTGGAATAGGTTCCTTGAAGCTTCACCTGATCAACCAAAGATCAGATTTCTCATTCGCGCTCTTTTCTGGCGGTTTGTTGAATGTAATGTAACACTCTTTCACCCACAAATGTTTTAGCTTTTTTAGCTTCATCTTTAACCATTCCTTGTTTTTGCTTTTTTCCTTGTGTGATAGCCAAAGCTAGTGGCAATCTCAAACAAAGTAGCCTTTGAGAACCCAAATGCACCAGTTTACCCGCGATTGGCACTTGGCAAAGAATGGGATGAAGTAAGATTCTAAAACCCTTTTGGTGATCATTTGCTGTGCTATTGAACTAAAGTAGTAAAAGATGAGTTTGTATATAGATGACAGTAACATGGACTAGTGGTTATGGACTCAACTTAGCTGAACCAGTTGTTGAGTGGAGCATTATAGGAGGAGAGCCTAAGCTCTCACCTGCTGGGACATTGACCTTCGGCCGCAACAGCATGTGCGGTGCTCCTGCAAGAACGGTTGGATGGCGTGATCCTGGATACATACACACTGCTTTCCTCAAAGAGTTATGGCCCAATTCCAAGTATGTGCCATGTGTTTTCTCTGTTCTGAACCAATAAACTTAAATCACTGAGCTTTGGTATGATCAATCTATAGGTATACCTACAGAGTTGGGCATAGACTGTCCAATGGTGAATTTATTTGGAGTAAAGAGTACCAGTTCAAATCTTCTCCTTTTCCGGGACAAAACTCTCTCCAACAAGTTGTAATCTTTGGAGACATGGGAAAGGTTTGATCTTTTAGTCTAAAGGTTCACTGTTGTAGTCTCAGTGCCACATTCATATTGTTTCTTGTGCTATGGGGTTGCAGGCTGAGGTTGATGGCTCAAACGAGTACAACGATTTCCAACGCGCTTCTATCAACACCACAAAGCAACTTATTAAAGACCTAAAGAAGACTGATGCAGTATTCCACATTGGAGATATATGTTATGCAAATGGATACCTTTCTCAGTGGGATCAATTCATAGCACAGATTGAGCCAATTGCTTCCACTGTTCCATACATGATTTCAAGGTTTTGCCCATTTGGTTTTCTTTCTTTTGAACAAAGTTTTTCGGCTTTCTTGATTACTAAGTCTTGAAAAGTGACTCTGTGTAGCGGAAACCATGAACGTGACTGGCCTAACTCAGGCTCATTTTACCAAGGTTTAGACTCTGGAGGAGAATGTGGTGTACCAGCTGAGACAATGTTCTATGTACCTTCTCAAAACAGAGCCAAGTTTTGGTACTCAAGTGATTATGGAATGTTTAGGTTCTGTGTAGCTGACACAGAACATGACTGGAGAGTAGGAACAGAACAATACAACTTCATAGAGCAGTGTCTATCATCAGTCGACAGGAAACATCAGCCTTGGCTAATATTCATTGCTCACCGCGTGCTCGGTTATTCCTCGACATCTTTCTATGCGGAAGAAGGCTCTTTTGGCGAACCAATGGGAAGAGACAGTCTTCAAAAGCTATGGCAAAAGTACAAAGTCGACATTGCAGTCTATGGCCACGCACATAACTACGAGAGAACATGTCCGGTTTATCAGGTAAAAACATCCTTAACAAAGCATATCAAAGAATGAATCTTGAAATAATGAGATTCTGTTTCTTGTTTTTGTGTTGTAGAGCGTATGTATGAGTCATGAGAAGAGCAACTACAAGGGTCCTTTGAATGGGACAATCCATGTTGTTGCTGGAGGTGGAGGAGCAGGTCTTGCTGAATTCTCTGTTCTTCAACCAAGTTGGAGTCTTGTCAGAGATTTCGATTACGGGTTCGTTAAACTTACAGCGCTTGATCAGTCTAATCTTTTGTTTGAGTACAAGAAGAGCAGTGATGGACGAGTACATGATTCTTTTACAATATCGAGAGATTACAGAGATATCTTGGCTTGTGCTGTTGATAGTTGTCCTGCAACAACACTTGCTTCATAAGACTTGAGCTCTTCTATATTCAATGGCTCCTTGTTCTTTTTCTAAAACTGTTGTAGTGTTTAGTTGTTTAGACATCAATTATATGTACACTGCAAAACAAGTTTCAAAAACTCTGTTCTTACTTATGCATCATCTTTTGACATTCGGGTTTTTGGATTGGGTTCGGGTATGATCCGTTCGGGTTCGGGTTATATGGGTTTAGGAAAATAGAACCCATTGAATTGTAGACTTTTGGTTCGGTTTCGGTTTGGGTACTTTCGGGTTCGGATCGGTTTGGATTACAAATTTCAGAACCCGATTACTACCTAAATTACCGAGTACCCGAAAAAACTACTTAAAGATTAGATAAACTTAAACAAATTTAGCTAAATTTTGACATATATAATAATGAGAAATTTAAGATATTTTGATTATTTTGGGTATTTAAGTGTAAATTTAATTGATATATTAAAAACTATAATTACAATCTTTGGATAACATATGATATTAATGTTAAATATTATTAATATTTTAGATATTTGTATATTGTTTGGGTTTTATGGATACCCATTTAGGTAACAGATATTACCATGACCCTAACCCGAACCTACGAGTTTAGCAATATAGAACTCAATATACTTATTTAGGCATACCCGTATCCTACCCAGACCAGTTTTTTCGGGTCGGGCATTTGGATTCGGTTTGTTTCCCAGCCCTATCCCGCGTGAAAAAGATCTCAACTTTGCAGAGAGTTAAGATGACACCAAATAAATAACCAACCCAAGAAGATGTACGAAACTCGAGAATTGGGCCTTAAGCCCAAGACAAATAATAAATGGGCCTGTAACACCGATTTTTTCAAAATGACACCGAGCTATGGATTGGGATCTTATAAACAATCATTAACCTCTCGCCGTCAGGTTACATCTATCGCCACCGCTGAGACCGCCGCATAAGGCCGTCTCCTCCGCTATCTCCATAACCGAAGCAACCCTCATCGCCTGGTAAGCTCGTGCTTCCGATCTATTCGATTTCTTACGGCGCCGATCTGTTTTCTACTGAAGTTAAATCTCTTGCGACTCCCATTTTTCTTCTGAGATTTGTCTGAATTAGGGTTCACGATTTGAGTTCTAGGGTTTTCTCGCTTAATCATTTCTTGTTGGTTCTGCTTTTGTTTCTTCTCTGTATGCAAATTTGTCAAAAAAATCAAATCTTTTGTAACAGTTCACTCTCTTTCGTGCTTGTGTTTAAGTTTGAAGTTTGAACAATGCTTCGATTTTGGGATTGAGGTTATCACAACTCTAGATTAAGAATAGATACGATTGGAAATTGAAAATGTTATCGACATTGACGAGAATTATATGATTTGGTTTAACATATATGTCATTTGGTAAGTAGATGAGTTATAGAATAGTGTTCTTTAGCCTATTTCTGATTCTGAACTCTATAATATAGACATGAATGTGATGGGCACTTTGTTTATGGTCTAATGGATGTGTTGGGTTTCGTGTTTCCTTGAAAAGTTTGAACCTTGGGTCCAAATTACTTAAAATATATAAATGAATGAACGTTTAGATGTATCAAAGTTTTATAGAGTTTGATTTATATTCCTGATGTTTGGATTTGAATAGCACCTTGGTGGATTGGAACTATGTATCATTTTGATGACTTGGATTTGTGGTACATGGCAATTTCTCATGCTTAACCGAATTAGTAGTTTGTTCTCTAAATCTAGATTCTGGTATATGAGTGAGATTAATGACTTGGACTATTCTTATTTACTTGACGTAATCAAATCTTTCAGTCTTGGTTATGTTGATAGCTCTTCCTATGAGTAGTGTTTATGTGTTGATTTCATGTTATGGTCTAGAGACCTCACTGAGCACTTCCCCTTGTAGTTTCGAAGAAGGAGTGACGAGTCTAGTTTTAGGGCTTCTTATAGAGGGAGACATACGATGGCGTTCCTTAATTGAGTTTGTTCTGTTTCGATGTTGGTGTTCAGACTTGAAATGTTTTTTTCTTCTTTTGCTGAGATTACCTTGCTAATCATTGATTTTTTTTTTAAGTTATGCTTCCTTTTATTGGAGATACATATCGACTCAGGGCGTTTTATAGCTAGTCTTTTTATTTTCACCTATAGTTATGTTCGCTATTATTGAAGACTTATTGTGTTTGAAGTTCCTCGGCAGGAAAATCGTGTAGAGCCTGAGCCAATGTTGTCGGCGAGAACCTCAAAAGTTGTGGGTGTTTTTACCGCCGATAAAGCTGCTGGCAAGATTGGTTGGGTTTGGGGTTGGGTAGGATGGTGTGTAGGGCAAGGTAAGGATGCTTCATTTACAAAAGAATCATTTAGAACTTTGTTCCGTCTTTGGTTCCAAATGTGTTTTCTTTTGGGCTCATCGGCATGGGATAAAGTTCTCTATGTTTTCTTATTCTGGAATAGGAATGTTTTGCCTTTAAACAGGACACTATAGATATATTCTCGGATTAGTTTCTGCTTCTTGTGGTATTATCATTACAGTATGAGATTTTAACATTCAGAAAGTTAGTTCTTGGATCAAATCAAAGATGTGAAACACCTAAACTATGTTCTTCCCTGTTAACACTGTCTTCGTAGGGCAGGATGTGAGAAATATGCTATTTCTGCGCCATACCCTCTCAGTTCACCAGTTTATCGAAACTATATCAGGAACATATAACTCTTAGGTTACAATATTGTCATGGATTAGTTGATGCGTGTTCTGTTTCTTTTAGTTGTAAACTTGCATAAAATTGTTGATTGCTGAGAAGCATCTTGTGAAGTGAATTATATTTCTTAATGTATCTGATAATCAGTCTTTCTTTCTTTTTTTGTGTGGGTTTATTAGTAGATGGGGAGAACTAAGGAACAAGCATCATTTACTCGGTTTCCACCCGCCCCTAAGAAACAAATTAAATTTAAAAAGGATATAAGCCAGGAAAAGGGATATGGGAAGGCTCTGAAAAGAAAACCTTGGAAGGGTGTGACATGCCCTGTCTGTCTTGAGGTTCCTCACAACTCGGTCGTTCTCCTTTGCTCATCTTACCACAAAGGATGCCGTCCTTACATGTGTGCCACGGGAAACCGTTTCTCGAATTGTCTAGAGCAGTACAAAAAGGCCTATGCAAAGGATGAGAAAAGCGACAAACCGCCAGAGCTATTGTGCCCACTTTGTAGGGGTCAGGTGAAAGGTTGGACTGTTGTGGAAAAGGAACGGAAATTTCTGAATTCTAAGAAAAGGTCATGCATGAAAGATAACTGCTCGTTTTATGGAAGCTACAAACAGCTGAAGAAGCATGTTAAGTCGGTTCATCCAAGATCCAACCCAAGAGCCATAGACCCTGTGCTGGAGGAGAAATGGAAGAAGCTTGAAGTTGAAAGAGAGAGGAGTGATGTAATCAGTACAGTCATGTCGACAACACCTGGGGCAGTGGTATTTGGAGACTATGTGCTCGAGCCTTACAATAGTGCTTATGATCACTTCGATGATGACGACGAAGACAGTGACTCAGATGATGATATGGAAGGTGGATTCTTTGAGCTGGGATCATTTGCAGGATTTGACCTGAGTCGTATACAACCGCGATTGACTCCAGCCATTTCAGGCCGCGGACTTCGCAGTATTCTCACAAGGAACCGGTTGGTTCGAGGCAGAGGTGTGAGCAGAAGGCGGCAAACACAAGATTGATGATTGGAAAGCGGATAATTCTACGCCGGCTGACCAAGATAAGCTCCGAGCTCTATAAAGCCACAGAGGGAAGGAGTGGGAACAAAACAAAGAGTTGTTGATTGAAGTTTTTAGTTAGCAGTTTAGGGTTTCAGGTTTGGAAGATTTGAGTTGGTTGTTCCCTCGACCTTTTGATTTAAAGAGTTCAAACATTTCATATGCTTTTTGTACTTTTACATTGAAAATATCTTCGGTGGTTTCTTTCTTTATCTCCTTTCTCTTTATATAACTGTGGATGAGCAATGGAAAATTATGGAAACACGCCCAATGAGTTAAAACATTAATTTTGAATCATCTAGTTCATTAACATATGTTGAGAATTATACAATACACAATGTTTATAGTTTCCTTACAAGGAACATTTTTGATCATATGATTTATATAACTCAACGAGAACTCAATTCTGTAAAGACTTCACTCACTGATGAAGTAGTCCCATTTTCAGATTGGGATTGATGTCTAGCGAATGCAGGAGCCTTAGGTAGAGGAACGGTGATTGTATCGCTGCCGAGCCAAACTGTAACAGAGCTCATGGTTGGTCTCTTTGCTGCGTTTTCTTGAACGCACAACAAACCAATCTGGATCAATTTGGTGATCTCGTTTCTCGGACATTCTATCAAGAAATGATCGATTATAATCTCCGGCTTTCCTTCAAGCCATCTCTTCCACGTCTGAACAAAAGAAATGATATGTTAATACTTCCTCTTTAGAGGTTTAAAAGATAAAAGAATGGAGCAAAGATTGATATGTGAAGACGAAAGACGCTTACAAAAGGTGCAATCCCTTCTCCTTCGAAGCTATTGTTTCTTTCACCACTTATTATCTCTAGAAGCATAACACCAAAGCTATAAACATCAGATTTAACAGACATTTGCCCGTGGTTCAGGTACTCGGGAGCCATATATCCACTGCGTATACGCAACAAATAACATTAGTTGATAGATATATGTTTTGGTCATTGATTATACATGTGTTTGGCTTACTAGAGATTTTTATATGATGTCAAGTTTCATAAGTTCTTACCGGGTTCCAGCTATTCGTCTTGTTTCAGCTCGGGTCTCATCGGTGTTGAACAACCTTGCGGTTCCAAAGTCTGCAACTTTAGGGATCATCTCAGCATCTAAAAGGATGTTGCTCGCCTTCAAGTCTCTGTGAATAATCTTTAGTTGAGAATCTTCATGGAGATAAAGAAGACCACGAGCAATGCCTTCTATAATCTTGAACCTCACCTCCCATGTAAGAAGCGAACGCTTGTCTTCATCTGAACATTTCAAGAACAAAATAAATATCCTTTAAATGTTATCTAGATATATAGAAATTGCAGCTTTCTTTCAAAGGCTCACCAAAGATAAAGTGATCAAGACTTGAGTTGGGGACAAACTCATAGACAAGAACCTCTTCGTCTCCTTCATTACAGAACCCAAGAAGCTTAACTAGATTTCTATGTTGGAGTCTTGTCAAGAGTGAAACCTCATTCTTAAACTCCATATCACCTTGTCCTGAACCTCTTGTTAATCTCTTCACCGCTACTTCTTTCCCGTTTAGTAAAGTCCCCTGAAACAAGTTCCTAGATATGTTACCAATCCATGGCCAAGATAGATCAAGAACTCATTATTAGGAAAAAAATACTATAGTTACCTTGTAGACAGTACCAAATCCACCTTGGCCAAGCTTATTTTCAGATGAGAACCCATCCGTTGCTATTATGATCATACCAAGATCAAAACGTAACATGAATTGACCATCCGAATCAGAGTACTCTGCAGTACCAACTAAAAAAGTGAAATTAAACCTTACTACTAACTACTAAGGTTGACTGAAACAAGAAACAAGGTATATACACATAACACACTTACCATTGGTTCTGTTTGATTTACTCTTCCGAGCATAGAATTTGATTAGATAAATAAACACCAAAAGATTAATGAAAGTAGGAACCGCAATTATCGCGATATTTCCGCTATACCTAATGCTTCTTCCTGCCAATTGTTAACACTTTTAAATCTTAGAACGCTCTATATCATTGTTAAAACTTGTGACAATGTAACAATGTTCTAACTCATTTGTTTTACCTTTCTTGTCTCTACTATTGCTCTCATTCGTTGGTGCTTGAGCCTGAGCGTGAGGTCGAGGAGGCGCAGGGACTCTTGTTATATTAACAAAAGCACCATGGAAAGAATAAAGATCCCACCTGAAAACACAGCTGGGACGACTAACCTCGCCTCCTTGTCTTCCCCAGAATTGTTTTTTAAAATACGTCACGCAATTTCCCAAACATCTTTTGCAGTCTCGTGAAGTTATATCAGGTGTGCATTGCATCAACATGTAAACATTTGGAAACTCCGTGAACTCGGCTTCTACGGCACTATAGTACTTAAGTACCGAGGAAGTTTTAGCGTCCGCGGCAGCTTCGCGGGTGCGATTAACGGTAGCTTCCCACTGTTGGCTAAAAAGGTTCATGTCTTTGGTTGGCTCAATGCTAAGTGGACTTGGGTATATAACAGCAGGTCCAAGCACTAAGTTCCCGAATGTTGAATGGTTTGTGGAACTTACAAGACAAGAAACTTTGTCTTCATCATCACTATCCCACTTGAAAGAATCCATTCGATCCGGACAACCCGTTTCTATCTCCTTAGTCACTTTTTCGACACAACGGATACAAGCTTCTCGTTCGTAGCCTCTTGTACAGAGGACAAGAGCGTAAACCCTGTTGGGACTTTCTCCAAGTGAAGCGTTGTAGAATCCACCGTTGGTGATTACTTTATGAGAAAGGGTAGAGAAGAGATTATGGCGATTCTCTCCGTAGCTGCTACCGTTGAAGAAGCTTCCGACACAAGTAACCGCATTAGCAACGTTGAGGGTTTGAAATACAAGAAGAAGACAAGAAGGCAAGAAGATCATCAAAGGTGGACGTTTCCTCATTATTTTGTTAATGACAGAGACATTTAGTTTTCGTTAAGAGCTATGTTATATATGTGAGGTAAGATGAGTAAACGTTTACTTGACTGACTTGACTTCAAATGTGAAAAGTTTGATTTCATATACTGAATATATATTTCATACTATTAATATTACAAAGAGACAAGAGATAGGTTTGGTTTGGTCATCTTTGAGATGATCAGAATCCAACACTCTTTACATATTTCGTATCGGTAGGTTTGGTTTGACCACTAACGTATGAAATAAGGTGTTGACTCTCTAGAAGTATTGGACATTGTACCCTTTGTAGTTTGTATACGGCAGTATCAATCTTTTTAAAGGTAGAGAAAATATATCGGATTCAGAGTTCGATTCGTTTAAGATGTTATGTCTGACATTGTTTAGATCAACCTCGCAGATAGGATTGTTTCTGTCTGATTTCCTAACTTTTACATGGCATCAAACGAGCAGTTATTGTACCAAATTCGATGTTGGATGCTCGTGGATCAACTCTCATTGAAATCATGGAGCTGCCGGGTTATTAAGGGATCATATGGGTGATTATTCTCACGTTGCGGGTTAGGATTACCTCTATATTCACTTTTCGTGGTTAGGACTTACGATTATAGACAAAGCGGTGAAGTCTACGCCAAATCTCCACTTAATGTACCATGCGTTCTCACTGCTTGTACAAAAACTAAACAATGAACCGCTAAACCCAAGTCGTGACTATAACTAGAGCTTTACCATTTAAGCAACAACGCAAAAATAATAACACATAGAAACTGGCCCAACAAAATCAGGGAGATGAATGAAATGTACTTCCTACTAGTTTGCAATAATGTTAAGTATTTAATACGGCAATTTCTAGTGCTTTACAAACCCATGTTCTGCTTAGCCTAACAATACTACACCTAGAAGAGATATGAAGGGAAACCCAGTACCTTATGTTCAGGTCGACAAATATGTTATACTTGTTTTTGTTTTCAACCAGTTTTGCTTGTGCTAGTTCCTCCAGCTGCTGTGTTAACCTGTTTTGAGAGATATGCTTCATAGATTTCAACAATGAGACGAGGATCCTTTTCCACGAGCTCCATGTATTCTTCTCTTTTAGTAAGTTTTTCCATATTCTCTGTGATCTGCGACAATGCAGCATCAAGAACATGTTTCGCGTTGTGTTGGTGGGCAAAGGCATAGGTCATGAGAGAGTTGTCCCAACTGAGTTTGGTTACCAAAAACCTCTCACAGTAACTCTTGAGATGTTTCACTTGATATTTCTCTGCCATTACCAAAAGATCACATGCCATTTGCTCATCAAGACATGCTTCAGCTGTGTAGAGATAATAAACGAAAGTCCGAAGAGTGTCATAAGCTACGTCGCTGATCTTTATAGTGCCGCTACGGCTCTCTTCCATCTCATTCTCAAGCATTGCTCTGAAAACTGGAGAACGACTCACCTGGCAACAATATTCACATTGTTTTGAATAAGAAAACAACATCTGGAAAAGAGATTTCTAGAGTACTAATGCTGTATAGAATCAAAGAAAGTTTCACTCCACTAAAGATTATTTCGCAACTCATCATATATAATACATATAAACTTCACAGACCATTAGACAATCAAAGCCAAAAGGAACACACAGACTAAGATTCCAATTTTGCACCATGGAAATGGAATTCTAGCAAAAAGGGCATGATATGTCATATGTGGAAAAACATAAACACGACACAAATGCGATTAAGAAGTTATCTACATATACCTCCAGTTGGAGATATCATCGGTCATATCAACACATATCATCAATAAAAGCACAAGTGCACAAAAACGAAAAGACTGTTCCTGCATTAGAACTAAACACCATATACCATACAATTGCAACATCTATGACATCCTTCATGGCTAAATCCATCGAATAACAACAGTTCTTATTGTATCACGAGACTACCTGAGACAGAAGGTTACTAATCATGAACTGTTTGCTAAAATCAAGAACACAAGAACAAACCCTAACTCTCAAAACTATCCAAAATTGCTCCTAAGTAACACAAATGATCAAAGATCCTTAATTTTTCTATCTCAACATCAAAAAATAGATTTCGTACAAGTCAATTCCAGAAACTAAGATTTTTTTGATGTGAGAACGAACCAGAACGGATTTATGAGCAGGAATAGGAGGAGCTCCGGCGGAGTCTTCAGAGGCGATGAGAACAACATCAGTGAAGGATCTCGAGCTCGAGCTGCTTCCGCCATGATCGAGTGAAGAAGATAAACGGAGAAAAGCAACTTTAGCTTTGAGGTCATCGATCTCGCGTTTGAGTTCTTCCTCAGTCTCGCCTGCTTCGACATAGCACTCCTTGCAAGTTCCAGCGTCGCGAGGGAGATACTCTTCTCGGCAAGAGATACATCGCATCGCCGTATCGGAATCGGAATCGGATTCGGATCCGGCGGTTTCGCTGTCGGAGCCGATTTGGCATCGGTGGTGGTGTCTCCTCATGTTAAACGGTACCGTTTTTGGAATTCTCTGCTCTCTCAAATGATTTATTCTTCTTTTATAACGGCTTCCCATTTCTAGATACGAGAAATTAATAATATGGTAATATTAGTAGATAGCCAAAATATTTAAAGAAATTAAGAAATTAGCCATGGTAATTACTTTCTTTCTCTTAACACATTCTTATTTTTTATAAAGAGAAAGGTGATTTTTCGGTGAATATCGGATTTTCGCTTATATAGATTCCGACAAACTTGTTCTCTCTTAAGTTTTGTCGGATTAAATGTTTTCAGTCTTAGTTTCTTTCCGTTTTCATTCTAAGTTTGGATTTAGTTTTTTTTGTTATGTATTTTTCTTCATCTTTCTACAAAGTTCTACAATCCAACCTTGCTTGCTATTGACTGGTTTAACTATTGGTTTGTCTTTTCTCATAAGATTGAGTAGTATCTTCACCAAAAATATCTTCGTCGTTGAACAAAGCAGACCTCGCAGGTTAGGTCTCGAGGTAGTTAGTCGGTGATGTTGTTTTCGTCTCTACACACGTCATACAAGTGTTGTATGTTGGGTTTATTTAGCAATAGATCTTCTTTATGTTTAATATTAATGTAAAAGGCCGAGATTGTTGGGTTCTATCAAAACTGCTTGTACTATTTTCCATATCAATGGACTTGGACTGGGCCATAAAATAAAATTAAAAAAATTAAGAAACATTTTTAATGGGAAAATAGCCATGAGCCCACGTTTTAGATGAAGTAAAAAGATATTATTATCCTTTTTCTTATTCTACATAATTATTTTGGTGCTCGATAATTTAACATTACTAAACTTCAATGATAAATTTTTATTAACGATTTTTAAATATGTATGGTACATAAATTAAGTTTTTTCAACAAAAAAAAATTTACAAACTGAACAAAATTATCTATTTTTGTAAATACTTTGGATCTAATATTTTTACAATAAAATAATAAATTTTATTTAATTTTGAAAATAAATAAACCGTCTATTAGACGGTCCCAAAGCGTATAAAGTTCTTAACTCTTTAGCTATGATTTGAAAATGCTCTCAACAAGATACTAAGAAATGAATATGTCAAATATGTGAAACTACTTAAAAATTAGAAAACTAGCGGAAAAAGACAGATCTGATAACTAACCTTTAGAATATCTCAGGTCGAAATGAAAACACAAATTTTCTCTTAATCTCACTCAAAAAGCTCTCTCTCTCTCTCTCTCTCTCTCTCTCTCTCTCTCTCTCTCTCTCTCTCTCTCTCTCTCTCTCTCTCTCTCTCTCTCTCTCTCTCTCTCTCTCTCTCTCTCTCTCTCTCTCTCTCTCTCTCTCTCTCTCTCTCTCTCTCTCTCTCTCTCTCTCTCTCTCTCTCTCTCTCTCTCGTATTTTTTAAAAGGGGTCTCGTATTTTTTAAAAGGGGTATGCGAAAAAGGGCATTTTTTATGATGAGTGTTTATTAACGATTTTTTAAATATGTATGGTACATAAATAAATTTGTTCAACAAAAAAAACTTTACTAACTGAATAAATTATCTAATTTTTATATCAAATACTTTGGATATAACATTCTTACAATAAAATATTAATTTTAATTTTATTTTGAAAATAAATAACCCGTCTATTAGACGGTCCCAAAACGTATGAAGTTTTCAACTTTTAGCTATGATTTGAAAATGCCCTCAACAAGATACCAAGAAATGGATATGTTATTTGAAATTAAAATTAAAATTTTATTGTAAGAATGTTGTATCTAAAGTATTAAAAAAATTGATAACATTTTAAGTTAGTAAATTATTTTTGTTGAACAAAATTATTTATGAATCATACATATTTAAAAATCGTTATTAAACATTCATTATAAAAATCTAGTAATGTTAAATTATCATCACCAAAAAATTTTGTGAGCTATTCACCATTTTTCATAATATTACTATTACCAAAAGTTTCATAATTTAGATATAATACCCTAAACATGATTATACCATTATCCTAAAAAATATTATTTTCTAACTTCCAGTTTTTTTAAAAACTATTCTCGCATATATTTTTACTTTGCAATTTATTGTATTTATTACAGTTAATTAATTATTACAAAATTGAACGGTAAAGTTCTTACAAATTAACATCAATCCAAAAAATGAGTTATAGTGTTGTTTGATAAGCATTAAGAATTTTTTTAAAATATAAAAACATACAAAATTATATATTTTAGAAATCATTATACTACAAATTATATTGACTTTTGTTATCCTTATTTTAAGTTAGTAACGTCTCTTTTTACTTCATCACGATATAGTCTCATACCTAAATTTTTTTGCAGCGGTTGTTTCTAATCAAATCTGAACTAATTAAGTTGGGTCATTACATTATACAAATTCATTATATATAAATCCAAATTGTTTTACCATATTGTTTTACCATATTAAACCATGTAAAATCAAATTTATATGGGAGCTTTTGTTTATAATAACATCGAATTAACATTTTTCTAGTTTAAAAAACGAGTTGTAATCTTTAAAGTTAGAACTTCCATATGAGGATCAAATTAAGTTATAGAAAATTATAAAATATGAGTTTAATTTTAAAATTATTACATCTGATCAAAGTTTATCGTCTCAACTACAAATAACAAGTTTATAAATACAAGAAAACATGTGTGCCATAATATTATCTTTTATTTTAATTTCTTCAATCTCTGAAGGGTTTGAATGCTAATGTTCTATAATTCATGTTCCTTCGAGATGAAGGAACCCAAATTCTATAGAGAATGAATTCGTTTTTTCTTGACTAATTAACCAATCTAGAATAGGTATATATATATATATATATATATATATATGTGTGTATATTAAGTTATTGATTTGTAATTCATGTTTCAACTTCATTAGAAATGTAGTTTTTTTTTGTTTCACTATATGTTACTTGAACTTAGCATATACATCTTACTGTCAAAATCTTGAGTTGTTTTCATGAGAATAGCAGATTAGTTCCAGAATACATGAACTATTTGATATATTATTTGAAACACATATACCATAATCTATATGGAATGATGAAAATGAAGATAATAATTTGGTTTCTAGATTTGACTGTTTCAAAAATATTCAAAGTTTAAAGTTTTTTAATTTAGAATAAAAACTTGAAAAGCAATTATTAAGAATGTCATAAACCACATAATGTAATTGATATCAACAATAGAAGATAATATATATAATATATATAGTATCAATTTTGATTGCAAAAGATCTAATGAAGGACGAAAGGAAACACTATAACTCATATCAAGCCACTTTAAGAACTAATGAACACTCTTATAGTTAGTGTGCACTTCTTGTTGTAGAGGATCAGCCAAAAAATGATGGAAAAAGCAAATGCATGGAAGTTTGGCTTACTTGACTCGTTTTAGGAGCAATCATTAGCGGAGTTCATTTTCGTATGAAACTTCATCTTCTGTTATTAGAAGAAACATAAGCAAACAACGACAAGGTTTATTGTAGATATATATTACATTATGTGGTTTTTGTTATTCTTAACAATTGCTTCTTTTTCAAATTTTTTTATTTTAAATTAATAAATTTAAACTCGGAATTTTTTTGAAACACTCAAAACTAAAAAAAAAACTACAACCTCCTTTTGTATCATTTCATATAGATTGTGGTATATATGTTTTGGATAATATATCATAAAAATTCAAGTAATCTGGAATAAATATGCTATTCTCATGAAAACATAAATGAACAACAACAACAACTTAATACAATAAGAAAATTTAATGTACAAATTTTCAAAATATTGTCACCATTTATAAACTTCAATAATATTTCAAAATCACATTATTTCTAGAGCAAGTGTTCTTCTCTATATCATAAATGCATACATTAATATTTTTATCGCAATTGTTACAAAATTACAACTCTTAATTTGTTGTCAAAAAATTATAACTCATCTATATAACTTATAAACAAAAAATTATGTATTTCAGTTTTGTTTCTCAACAAGATTGAATTAGGTCTAACCATTTTTTTTATTTTTATGATTTCATCAAATTATCATTTAGTTTGGTTTTCTCCCATGAGGAATATCATATAATTGGTGGTAAATGGTGATATAAGAGACATGATAAAATTGTAGCCCTATAATTCTTTGTATAAAAAGTTCACGACAAGTATTTCTTGATCAACACTCGAAAAAGTTGAGGTATGCTTACAAAAATTCCATACTAACCTCATCCACTAAACTTTTCAAGGAAAAAAGTGCTACGAGTTTATGAATTAGATTGTAATAAACTTAATACATACATGTTAAAAGACATAAGGATTAGTAAAACATATTTTATAGAATCATACATGTATTAAATATGAAACTTTTGTTGCTTGAGTCATGAGATATTTGTATTACCGTAAGCGAGCTAAAAAACACAGAGATTTAACCGAGAATATATTACATTATGTGAAAATGCATCATTTGCATGAAAATTAAATTTAGATTAAAAAATTTGAGGTAAGAATGTCTTCTAAAATGCCTAACTAAACATTAGTGCTCTAAACAATTGATGAAGCTTATCAATTAGATTCTCCATTTCTATTCCATGAAACTTATTTATATGATCCAAATTAATGAGGCCGTCATCAATCTCAAAGAAAAAGGTTGAATACTTCTTATATCTTAGTTTAATATTTATTTATTTATTTATTAATTTATATTCATATTATTTGAAACAAACGTTTTTAGTTGAAAGAGATTTTTAATACAGTCTTCTTTCTCCTCTAGTTGCTATTTGTCGCTTCTAGAGTAAGAGTGAGAGAGAGTTTAGCTTGGGTTTTGCTTATGTGATTCTAAGAGAGGCTTGAGATGGGTTTCTAGAGGTGTTCAAGGGTGTTTGTTGGTGTTGTCAGGAAGGAGAGGCTGAGTTCAGGGCTAATGGTGTCTAGAGGGTTCTCATCTTGCTTGTTCTTCCTATTTTGTCTTCTAATCATCCCAAATCAGAAACCTTCTGATGTGTGTGATCATGGCTGATCTAAGCTGGTGAAACCTTCTGATGT